GAGTCATTAGAGCTTTGTCATGGAGTGTTCTGCCTGCTTGTTAACCGTACCACTATTCGATATTGACTCATTGTAAACTTTTAGAAGTTTCGAGCTTCAACAATAATTACCAATCGTAAATTATTCATATTTCATGGAAATTGGATTTGTCACAGTCATTGGATTATTGGAATTACTAGGATTATGTATGTATGGAATGAAGTGGTTGTTCCTTGAAGTTGCTGGCGGCTTATCGACTGCTCCACTAGTTTCTGGATGCTTCCGCTGGACTCGGAAGTATAAGCAATGAGCCTCAGGTACAACCAAAACCACAAGATATAAAATAGCAGATATTCCAGGTCAATTAAATCAGAATACAATCTTCACAGCCTCTCAGATACTCATCTATCTATCTTCCAATCTTCTTCAATCCAAAACTCCCCCAAAATCCAAAACAATGGCCTTCTTCTCTCAATCCGGCCTTTCGCCACTCTTCCTCTTCAATGACTACGAGGCTCAAAACCAATACAACCCTCGCCAATGTCCCAAGTCCTACAAGTGCTCCAAGCCCCAAGCACGCAGGTCTTCCTTCATGCCCGCATTTGATGTGCGCGAGTTGACCCATGCCTACCACCTGGACGGCGAACTGCCCGGCGTGGACCAGAGCAACATCGAGATCGAATTCACCGATCCCCACACACTCGTGATCAAGGGCCACACAGAGCGCGACTCCATCGATGACGACAACCACAATGACGATGCCAGCTCAAGCCGCAGCTCATCTCCTGCAGGCTGGCACCAAGCTACCGTTGAAGACGAGGATGCAGCGTCGACTAGCTCGGCCGACACCGCTGCTTCCAACGCTGTTTCGCACCCCATCAAGAACGACGAGCCTCATTTCTGGGCTAAGGAGAGGTCGATCGGTGACTTCCAGCGCACTTTTAGCTTCACCGCGCGTGTTGACCAGGATAATGTCCGCGCGAGTCTGAAGAATGGTGTTTTGTCTGTTATTGTACCGAAAGAGGCGGCCCCTACACCGAAGAAGATTCGCATCCTCTGATTTGAAAAATCAATTTTATGAGTGTTATTGGTGTCAAAGCTATGGACTCGATATATTTGATTGCATTGGGATCTTCGGGTAGCGTTTTCTTTCCTTGCATTGCTGAATTTGTACTTCTATGATCTGAATTTGTTATGATGATTAATATAAATTGATGTTTATTATATTACTATCCCGTCTGTAGACATGTAATATGCACATGGGTTAATTGGTAGGCTCTAGAGAACTTAGCTACGTTGGCCCTGCGCCTGCGATGCTAAACTAACAGCCCCTTGCTTGACCGAATAACCTTACTTCGTATAGATAGGTGGCTAGGAAAGCTCTCAACCAATGAACCAGCCACACGGTGAGGAATATGCATACCGAGGCAAGATAGGCGAAGTCTGAGATCGTATCCCTTCGGGGGGTCATGCATGCATTCCGGGGACTAGACTAAGTGGCCAAGAAAAGCCTAAAATTGCGAAACATATCACGATGGCATACCGAATTCATGGATTTGTGTACAAACGCCAGATATGATTCGCACCAAGTCCACTTCCAATTCCAAAAAGAGGGTATACCTAATAAGACTCCATATCCAAAATGTGTTCCAAAAATCCCGCCAAATCCCCCAAAAAAGGAAAACAAATCAACTCCATGATGAAACTTTTGTAGACGCCATAGATAGACGAGACAAGATCCAAAATTAAAATAACATCCAAGACGCAAAAGTCAATAAAATCATTACCGGAAATGTCAATAACCCAAAAAAAAATAACGAAGAAGTCATTATATGCACAAATCCGTCTGCTGACGGACTTTCGTTAGCCGGCGACGGTGATAGTCATTGGTTCGGCTGCGAGACCGGCCTCGCATCGGCTCGGAGGAAGTCAATTCAGAATCAAGGTCAAGATCATCTTGCAAGTAACCTGGGGAGGTGATAGTGGGCAGTGGGGGAGCTTCAACGCCTGGTTTCTTGCTCCAGATGCGACTTCCCCGTCGGCTTTTGGATCGAGAAAGTTGTGTATTATTATACTCTGTATGCATTTGATATTCAGAGACCGATCTGCGAAGTCGCTCCTTGGTTTCAGCAGCTGATTCCCCACTTGTGGTAGACCCAGCAGTAGACGCGAGGTCCGACGAGCCCAAGGACAATCGATCTCCATATAAAGGCCCTCTGGTGAATCCTTGCTGGCTCGGGTGTGGAATAGAGACCATAGCGGTAGACTTGACTTCGAAAACGGATGCGCGCGGCGAAGAATATTCCGTGTATCGGGGCGCACACAACGTTGACCGACGTGATCGCGACGGAACGATGGGGGTTGGATCGGTCGAATCGTACCAGCGAGAAGTGGCTGGATGCAACCTTGAGTAGTTATCAGATTGTGCCTGCAGGCTCAGGGGACGCAGCGCTTTATCGCCAGATTGACCTGAAGCCGAGTCTTTCAGGATACAGACATTCTTTGAGCTGTCTGCGCCACACGAGCCAGACGTCTGTGAGCCAGCGGAACTCTGAGTCCGGCTGCGCTGTATGGAGTGGACTGACGTGGCGGAGCTGTAGCCACTGTCGGACTTGTTAAGGGATTGAGACGTGCTCCGGGAAAGACCAGCGTCCAAGACACCTTTCTCCAACTGCATTCTCGTATCGTCGCAGAGGACAATTCCTTCATCTTCTGGATCCCCAGGAAACAAGGATTTTGTCCGAGGCTGGACTGTGATGGTTGGAGACTTTTCGAAAGAGAATGGACTGCCTGGAACATCGTCCGTCTTCTTCGACTCGGACAAGGATGGAATCTCTAGCGTTGATCCCCTGCTAGGCCCAATACCTTCTATGTTCCCAAGACCAAGGCCAGAACTTGGAGCGCAGGATCCCTCCAAAGGAATGCGGTCGCTCGGACATGGGGAGGCGGAGCCATTTACCACTCGCAAAGACCCCAATTTAAGTGCTCCGAGCTGAGTATATCGGGCATCCGTCGGACTCGTCGGCCGCGCTGGGGATGGCAGACGCTGCGGTCTCTGGGTTGATGGCAATGGCCATTGCAGCACAGTTGACTCAGTCGGATCCTCGATGGGGTTCTCGGGCTCTCCAATGGGCGACGGGACGCGCCGAATTGCGCCTGTTGTTCGTCTTGTGGCAACCCCAGGTCGTGTCAGGAGCGATCGTCGACGTGTTAATGAGAACCGCTGGTTGCCAACCAAGAAGTGTGTGTTGGAAGAGGTCGCATCCCCGATGTGGGTCTCATAGACAGCGCTGTTGTGTCTCTGTAGGGGGATTCGAGTCGAACTGGCTCGCCTTGGTGGCTGTTCATAAAGAGGCGAGGATTGGGAGGTTGATTCCCAAGTTTCCGACTGGTACGATGTTCTTCTCGAAGAGGTTGCGCTCAACAGGGTTGGGCGGATCGGATGACGCTGCGTAGGACTCTGTTCATATCCAAAAGTTCGATCCTCAGTCGGGGTCTCTTCGGGCGACTCTGTTTCAAAAAGGGTAGGTGGGATCTCTGCCTTTTTGGAATAACTGCCCCTTTTCTCCACAGGAGGACTGGAGATATTGTCACCAACCCACGGGTTTTGCCACCCTATCAGCCCCGAAGTGATCGCTGAAGGGTCTGTTTCGAGGCGTGGAGGACTTTGACTGACATTGAACTTCTTCGTCAGGGGCTTTGAAAGGCGGTTGGAGCGGTGGGTCTCGTCTTTGGCTTTGCTCGATAGGGAGTTGCCCATGACTTCAGAGACACCAGAGACAATGCAGGTAGATTGAGATTTGCTCTGGTCAGATTCAACTGGGCATGTGCAGCAGGGACGACCAGAATGATATACAATTAAAATAACTTGGCGATCACTGTCCCCCCGCACGACGATGGGGTGACCTAGTGGAATTTCCAAGCTTGTCCCGATAGAGCTTTTTCAGATTAGATCGCAGCCCCGGACTGACGTCAAACCACGCCCTGATTGCCCACAGAGGACGCAATCCGAGCCAAGCTCGTGCAACCGCTGGGTTTGGAATTGACCGTACGATTGGCGGCTCTGAGTTCCCCAACAATCCCGGAGATGATTGGGGGGTCTGTGTTTCAGATTGGGTGCGATACAGGAATTGGTTGGACTGGAGAGATGGAAGACGAGGATTCAGGTAACCTCAAAAGGTCAATCTTGGAATTCAGGGAGTCCCCTTCTTCACAAAGCAGGATTTGATGATTTGATGATTTTTTTTTAAGATTTCACGATCTCGGTGATCTCGGTTCACGGGGAGGTTGGTAGACCAGGGGTAGATCAAAATCCACAAATGCACAATCGGATCGACATTAAGATTATAGACAATTTGCAAAATGAAATAAAATATAACAAAAAAGTAACAAAAAAAAAAGAACAGTAGGAATTGGTGGGGGATAGTGTCAGGGAAGGGGGGAACATACGATACATAAGAAGTGGAGTGAGAATACGACAAACGAGGTGTATATGCAACTAAACGCTAGAAACAAAAGAAGACGCAAGCATTCCCTTTCGCCACAAAGGTTCCTATACGCGCATGAGCATCAGATGAAGTGCTGCATGCAGAGGAAGACCATCTCCACGCGGCACAGGGAAGAAAAAAAGGTACCGCCTCCTTCTGCCGCAACCGGGGAGATAGGTACCTAGTACTTAAATTTAACATGTCATTATCATACATAACTTAAGTACCTGATACCTTTCCACACATGTAGTATTCGTGACAACTCCATTGTTTCCTTTCTTCCCCTTCTATATCCGGTCCACCGCAATCATCCTTTTCGTTTATTTTTTTCTCTCTTTTGTAACTGCTAGTGGATTTATATCCTATGTCTCTGATTTGACATACGACATACAGTGACCAGTAACAAGGTCAAGTGCTCTTACTCTTGCGAAACCCCCATACCCTGGCCACACCGCATTCACAGCTGAGCGTCTGCATCCGGGGGACACGGGTACTTCGTACAGAGTAGTTGACATCTTCCCAGACTCCAGCCGCATGGCTGTATCTTGCTCTACGTTTCCCTTCCTGGCGCAGTCGGAGTTTGAGGGTGCATGTCGCGATCTTGCCGATCGATGCACTTCAGCCCAAAATATTGGCTGGCCCGCCATTCGACTGCTCACAAAGGTATCCCTTTATCTACGCATGAACCATTAAACCTTATTCCTTATTCAACGTATTAATGAATGAACAACTGATGGGAAAATATGGGTTGGATGAAACTAGTCAGATGGAACCAGCCTCAGAATAACAAAGTATCTCGATATCCCCAGCCCACTAGAAGTCCCAGCGCTGGAGGATCTCGAAGATTCACAGGACGAGGATCCGGTCTGCAGAGTTCTAGCCCCCGAGGGACGTGTCCACTTGTCCTAACTCTTCACCGCAGGAAGCTCTCGTTCGCGCCAAACCCCAACCCAGCTTACAGATCGATTATGACATCTTGTTGTCCCCCACATATCAGGTCCCCATCTTGTACTTCGGCCTCAAGTGGCACAACCACGGCCCACTCGGACTAGACGAAGTCTACCAGTATGTCGTGCCGGAACGGTACAGGCAAGAATTGAAGAGTGTGGGTGTAATGGGTGGGATTAGTATGGGTGTAGGTGCATTCTCCGAACCTCGTGACAAAAGCTCATGTCTTTTTGTTTTTGTTTTTTTCTTGTAGTACCATCCTGACTCTGGCGCCCCGGCCTTTTTGTCCACCCATGCAACACCGCGGATGCCATGGCGAACATTGCAGACGCACAGAACGTCACTCCTGGATCATATCTCCTCATCTGGCTCGGCCTTGTAGGTCATTGCGTGAACCTGCACGTCCCACGCGAGCTTTTCGCTTAGCACAATACCAGCCAATACTCTTGAATATGCTGGAAACGCTGGGGAATAAAAAAAAATCAAATGCAAAGCGAGGACTTCAAGTCTCTCTCAGTCCCCAGCAGGGCCCCACTCATTAGATTACTCCTCATCGGAGGAAGCCTCCATAGGCACATCGCTATCTTCGTCCATTGGGGCCTCTTCGTTGTCACTTTCCTCTTCACGCGGTCGCTTCAAGCCATGGGCCTCTCCATTGACATCGGTCGTGGGTCGTGCAGGGAGTGCGCCCGGAGGAGCACCGAAGATAGACTTTTGGAGGTCCGTTGTGACTGGGGCTGGCGGAGCTTCAACTGGCGCAACGTATGTGCCGCGAAGTTTGGAAATGACATTCGATGATCCTTTGGCGTAAACGATTTTCTAGACATCAATTGAATGAGCGGGGGTTTTGCGACGATAGAGGGACATCGACTACATACCATCTGTTTCCCGAAGAATTCGAATCCTTGCAAAGCCCGCAGTGCCTGTGTACTAGCTTGGACATCCTTGAACACAATATGGGCCTGGCCTCGCATTTTGGCGGTCTTCATGGCCACAACGTCGAGAACGGTGCCGTATGTGGAGAACAAGGCATAGAGTGCCGTCCGGAGATCATTTTTCTGAATTCTTCTGTCGGGCAAATTTGTGCAGTAGAGTCTAAAAATTGTTAGCACCAATGCGCGACAGTCTCTTATACTTGGAAGGACAAGCTCACGTCTGGTTAGGAGCGCCAATAGCAACGGTCTTGCTGTCAGGGCCTCCACGGGCAGGCAGTGATTTTGAAGCCATTTCTCAGACGATTAAAAATGGTAGACAAGCTGTCGTCTGACTAAAGGAGTAAATGGGATAGCGTAGGGGAAAGTGAAGCTCAATCGCGTGCTATGTCCATGGCCACTCAAAACCTCGACATAAAAGTAGCTTTGGGTCATGTGACGTCTTGCCTTACTAAGCGCCACCGTCATCACCCGCATGGGCAGCTCCCCTCCTGGTCCCGCAACTACAACACTAAGTACACAAGCACGACGGTAGAGAGACCCTCCTGTCGTTATTATATCCAATATGGCCACCCCCGAGGTTCACCATCTCTTCCATGCACCAATTGCAGACCACTCGTTCTCATCCGACAAGAAGACACTTGCTGTCGCTCGGGAGAACAATGTGGAGCTGTATCAACGATCAGGCAACAAGTTCACACTGAGCGATGAGCTCAAGGGCCACGAGAAGATCGTCACCAGTGTTGATATTGCTCCCAACAGTGGCCGAATCGTCACTTGCTCGCAGGGTATGTTTTAGCACAGTCCTTTTTACTATATACCATGTACAATACCTAACAGGTGTTCACTCTATAGATCGCAATGCCTACGTTTGGGAGAAAACCCCCACAGGATGGAAACCTACTTTGGTCCTCCTCCGAATCAACCGTGCTGCAACCTTTGTGCGCTGGTCCCCATCGGAGCAGAAGTTCGCCGTCGGCTCCGGCGCTCGAGTGATTGCAGTTTGCTACTTCGAGGAGGAGAACGACTGGTGGATCTCGAAGCACATCAAGAAGCCTATTCGTAGTACTATTACAACCCTGGCATGGCACCCGAACTCCGTCCTGCTGGCAGCCGGATCGACCGATTCTCATGCCCGAGTCTTCTCAAGCTTCATCAAGGGTATTGATACCCGCCCGGAGCCTAGTGCGTGGGGAGAGCGCCTTCCTTTCAACACTATCTGTGGCGAATACCTGAATGATACTGCTGGTTGGATCCAGGGTGTTGCTTTCTCTCCCAGTGGTAACGCGCTCGCCTTCACTGGACACGATAGCAGTGTAACTGTCGTGTACCCCAGCGCTCCCGAGCAGCCGCCGCGCGCGATGTTGAACATCGCTACTCGTTTGCTTCCACTCAACAGCCTTATCTGGAATGGCGAGACTGAGATTATCGCAGCTGGACATGTAAGTTGTTTATTTGTGGCAATAAAACGGCTTGTGCTAACCATATCTAGGACTGTGAGCCCTTCCGTTTCCACGGCGATGAGAATGGATGGCAACTTGCCGGCTCTCTGGAGAAAAAGGCTGGTGAAGCCGGCGGTGCCCGCGAGGAGTCTGCTTTGAACATGTTCCGGCAGATGGATCTCAAGGGCCAGGCCCAGGCGGACACCAAGCTCAAGTCTACCCACCAGAACACTGTGCACACCATCCGGGCCCACGAAGAAGCCAACGGTGTTGTGAGCTCCTTCAGCAGTAAGATCGCCTTCCCGAAAAATTTCGACCCACCATAGACTAACATATTGTCATAGCGAGCGGTGTCGACGGTCGTGTTGTCATTTGGACCGCCTGATTTGAATTACCTTTTAATGCAGGCCCTAGTCCATGATAAGCATGCATATAGTATTGGATAGAATTATTCGAGTACATTCCAGTCCCTCGTGACCATTCACATTACAAGGTTATTGCATTCTCGTATGTTGTAGTTGTAGACCCATGTACATACTCGGGTGGTGCCTTCCCAAGATCGACATGGAAACAGACCAATGAGGAAGTCGATGACATAATGGGGTTACCCCGGATTCCAGTCACATCTCCGCATCACAAGATCTCGTTCTCTTCCTTTAAAGGTGCACGTAGACCTTCCCCCATACACAAGTCAGTATGTCACACCATGGCTAGTATTTTATTTCTTCCTCTACTACTACACATCTGTTTCCTGAGCTTCACCACAGCCCAGGCCAAGAAACATGTATCAACCGACCTATTTAACTCCCTGGAAGAGTTATCCCGACTAGTGGATATTTCATACTGCGTCGGAACAACAGGAGTACAACAACCATTCCAGTGCCTCAGCCGCTGCATCGAGTTCCCAGATCTAGAACTAGTAACAGTGAGTCACCTACAAACCCTCATCTCCGCAAAGACAAGACACACCCCACTAACCAAAACACAACCCGCCCCGCAGACCTGGAACACAGGCATCCTCCTCTCCGACTCATGCGGCTACATAGCTCTCTCCCACACCCCCACTGCTAAACAAATAATCCTCGCCTTCCGCGGCACTTACTCAATAACAAACACAATAATCGACCTCTCCGCCTATCCCCAATCCTACATCCCCTACCCAGACCCAGACGAAAACACCACCACCACCACCACTACAATCACAGCCCCGATCCCCGCAGGTCGGCATTGCGAAAACTGCACCGTCCACGCAGGCTTCATGCGCTCATGGCTCCACACCCGAGCAGAAATCCTCCCCGTCATGTCTGTCCTACGCCAAAAATACCCAGGTTACGCCATAACGCTAGTCGGCCATTCCCTCGGCGGTGCAGTCGCAGCACTAGCAGGACTAGAGATGCGTCTGAAGGGCTGGGATGCGACGGTGACGACGTTCGGGGAACCGATGATTGGGAACGAGGCGTTCGCGGCATTCCTTGATGAACAGTTCGGGCTCGGGGATGGGATATCGATCCCGCCGCTGGAGGGGGGTCAGCGGTTCCGTCGTGTCACGCATATTGGGGATCCAGTTCCTATGTTGCCGCTTGCTGAGTGGGGATATCGACCTCATTCTGGAGAGGTCTTTATTATGAGGGAGGAGTTGCCGCCGCGGAGGGAGGATGTGGTTCATTGTTTTGGTGCGGGGGATCCTGGGTGTATTGCGGGGGAGGGGGTGAGGGGGTTTTGGTACAGTTGTATCGAGATTTGAATGTTCCTGTTGGGTTGGCTGGTTCTGCTTCTAGTGGGGAGGGGTGTCGGTCGAGTGGCAGTGGTGGTGATGTGTCTGAGGAGCAGGATATCTTAGGACGTGAGAGTTCAGATCCAGATATTGCTGGTTGTGAGGATAAATTATCGCCTCTGCGGTGGGATTGGTCTCTTATACCGGCGAGATATCGGCTTTGGGAACTGTTTTATGCTCATCGGGATTACTTTTGGCGGATTGGTCTTTGTGTTCCCGGGGGAGATCCAACTGGATAGAGTATGGCTATCTATTCGGGTTGGATACTGGCGTTGGCTGAGATGTTTATTACTATATACCCCGGATACCCATTCTGTACGTTGCATTGCTTTACGAGAAGTCATGTTTTCGATATAATATCTATCATTCTATTTCTAAGAGTGTTACTTCAAAGGAATTGCAAGTCGAACTAAGAATCAAGTCAGAACAGCAGTGTAATTGTCTCAATATAATGAAACAGGCTAGGGGAGCAGAAAAGAAAACGAACAAGCGGATATACAAACACGCCAAAAAGCATCAATTCAAGGTTGGAAACCATCAAAAAAGAAGAATAAGAATGTTGTGCAAGAAAGAAAACCAAATATCTCACGAACCCTCAAACAATAATCACCATCACCTCCCATGATCCAAACTAGGCACAATAACCGGCCCAAACTTAACAACATTCCCAAGCGCTCCATCTCCCTGCACCATAAAGTCCGCCGCAAGACTCAACTTACTAGCACCAGATGGTATATGTCCATAAGAAGGATTAACCGCCTCAGGGTCGTAAGCCACAATAGCAACGTAGTTCCTACGCGCCATGAGCTTCCGATACTCACGAGCCTGGCCGTTGACATCCGTCTGGAAGATCTCCATCATATCTTCCTTGGTATCGCTCACCTGGCCAGAGGATCTGTGGCCGTTGGAGGGGACGTAGAGGGGCTTGCTGTGGCTGTGGAGGAGTTTGATGATGTATGATGGCGGTGGGGTGTTTACGACAGACGAAGCGATGAGTTGGTACATTGTCTTGTGGTCTGAGGGGTTTGAGGGGTCGTGAACGAGACCTGCGCCGCAGACATTGACGGCGCCGGAGAGGAAGGTCATTCGGATTGATTTTTGGTGGGCTATGCCTTGGAGGGTGCGGATGAGGTATGTTCGTTCGAGATCCTGGGTTTGGATTAGTATGGATATCGAATGGAGAGGGTGGGAGTTTTGTAGTGAAAGGGGGAAGATGGAAGACGAACCTTCGACTCGTGTGTCCATTGGTCGCGGAGCTCGTCCATCGAGTTGAATTCGCCAAATGGACTCAGTATACCGCCCATCAACCCGGATTTACCTACGGCTCGCTTCACGGAGTCGAAGCCTGAGCCGACGAAGTCTTTGGCACCGACTACCCCGGCTACAGAGCTAGTTACCTTGCCGAGCACATTGTATGCGCCGGTCACGGCTCGCTTTCCGGTTGCGACGGTTTGGACGATGTGTTCTGCGGTCTCTAGACGGGGGTAGATGATTGGAACGGCGACCATCCAGAGACAGTGTTGCACGCTGGGTGGCAGCATTGCAATCTTCGGGAAGAGACCCTGGTACGTGGGACCGGCCATGACCTGATGTGGGTTTCTTTCCGAGCGGCAATCTGGACCGACGACGACGACGCCGGGACCTAGGTATTTGACAAAGTGCCAGCCTGTGCCGGTTATAGTGAAGAGGTCCGTGTCGTTGCTGACATTGCGGAGGATGTCGAGGGTTGTGTGATGCTGGAAGAGGAGATACATCTCGATGCCGATGCGGCCGATGTTCTTGAACATGTTGGAGAATTGCATGTGCTCGGGATAGGAGCCAAATCCATCGAAGCTGTGCATATATGTTAGTACTGCTCGTTGACTGCTGTTGTATGGGCGACTCACATGTCATGATCATCAATCTGGCAGACATAAGGAATCTGCGCAAATGACTCCCTGATGTGGGGTTGATCGAAGTGGCTGGTGTAGTAATGGAAGTATGCGTAAGAGACATCCTGCTCGTTAGCCGCGGTCCAAGGAGCGTTCTTTCTAGCCTCTTTTCCGCTGATAGTCAACCACTGCTTGAGAGACGGAATCTCTTTCCACATGCGATCCGCATAGATCTGACCACCAAGACATAACTGTGCGTGGAAACCTCCGATTTCATTGTGCTTTTGCATGATATCTTTCCACATGTAACCGACGCCACCTAGACGAGCCCGCTCACCAGCATTGACGTTGAGCGAGAAGTCATTTCCAGATGTAGCAATAAACCGCCAGTTAGTCTCGTGTCGGCCAGCGACAAGGAACTCGTAACGAGTGCAGCCAAGGTGTGAGGTGATGGCGTATGTCCACTTTGCAGGACCCGCATCGTCCATCTGTAGATCAATCTCATACTTATAGAATGTCCAGCGCTGATGCGCGGCAATGTTGACTGCCTTCAATTGTCTTGGGTTTGGAGACAGGTCTAGACTTTGGTGCATATGAATCGTGGGTGGCTGTGCGGCGTCTGTCACAAGCAGGATAGATCCCAGCCAGATTCCACGCTCCAGATCCATGTTGGTGTAACGCAGATAAGGACCAAAGTAGACACCGTTGGTCGGAGTGTTCTTATACAGATCCATGCCGCTACTCGGGGGAGGACCAGAGAATCCAGACACTATGGGAGACTGTAGACTTTCGAAGCCAGGGGTCAGAGGCACACCCGGCGACGCCAGAGGCTTCCCGAAAGCCGACAGACCCGGAGAAACGAGCGGGTGGGCGCTATATACACTTCCCACCGGGGACAAGGGTGTGTCGTTGAGATTAAGCGGCGTAGGTCCCTTCGGGAACTCCCATTGAGTTGACTGTGTGGGCAAGTGGATATAGTAGTACTGTCCTGAGCTTGGATCCATGTGGGCAATCCACCCCTCCGGAAGAGGTGGTGGAGATGCCGGACCTGCACTAGCAGAGGGTCCCGGAGAAGTGACCTGAACAGTCTGATGATGGAAACCGGACAAGTCATTAGCAACAGACGCCTGTGGGGATTGTCCTGTTTGCTGTTGCTGTTGTTGTTGTTGTTGCTGTCTCTGGTCATTCGCAAAAGCGGGATGATCCTGCGGCGAGACTGCCGGTGCAGGGGAAGGCGCTTTTGTAGCAGGATTGGGTTGGTTTACTAAAGCCGGGTGCATCATTGCGGCTCCAGCTCCAGCGGCTGCTGCTGTTGCCGCAGCCGCAGCAGCACCGCTTTGCTTTTCATTGGGATACCCGTTTGAAGCAGAAGGACCAGATACACTTGAGTAGGCTGGGGGAGGAGAAGAGCTGAGGCGCATCCGCTCCATATCTTGTTCCAGGGGATTAGGGGGAACTCTTCCTGGCTGTTCTTGCTGCTGTTGCTGCTGTAGCCCAGATGCAGGGTGCATTTGGGAGGGTGATCCACTGTACTGGCTAGGATGAGCCTGGGGCGGCGGGCTGCTATATTGACCAGGATGAGCTTGAGGTGCTGGACTGCTGTATTGTCCCGGATGAGCTTGAGGCGGCGGGCTGCTATATTGCCCTGGATGAGCTTGGGGTGCTGGGCTACCGTACTGTCCAGGATGAGTCTGAGGCGGTGGGCTACCATAAGACCCCGGCATCTGAGGCGGCGGACTACTGTATTGACCAGGATGCGCAGCAGGCTGCTGAGTATTATCACTGACAACCTCATCACCCTGATAAACCGTAGGAGGCCCATGAGGCTGCGAACCTGGCTGCTCAGTCGGAGTCCATGGGCGCGGCTGCTGCTGCTGCGGTTGTGGGAAAGTCGGCTGCTGACCAGAGTATTGCTCGGCTCGCCTCTGCGCAGCGACGTTATGAGACTGGATACCCTGCAGGGTTCCCGTACCCGCGATACCAGCAGCAGCATATCGGGCCTCAATATCCGAGGCGGGCTGCTGTCCCGGCCCGACGATAGGAGTCTCAGGTGGCGGAGGCGAGCCACGCTGGGCGCGGGTTGTCGATGTGGAACTTATGCGATTGAGCGGGCCTTGTTGGGGCTGTAGACTTGACGGGGGACGGGCAGCAGAGGTTGAGCTTTGGCGTTGCGGGGGCGGGTAGTATTGTTGACGGTAATCGTATTGACTTGTGTTTGCCGGTGGCTCTGGTGGGCCCGGTGGTAGACTGGCCGGGGGTCGAGGGTACGGTCTAGCAGCCAAAGCCTCGCGATCTGGCGCATCATAGCTAGGCGATTCAGGGAGTGGCTTTGGGGCTGCGCCTCTTCGTTCGGCTAATGTTGCGACTCGGGGCTCGCGGCCGTCCCGCGGCCGGAGCGCTGTTGGGTATTCATTTGGACTCACGGAGCCAGAGCCAGAACCAGCTGGCGGAGACCCGTATCTAATGTTGTCATGGTATCGCTCATTTGAACTTGAGGTGCGCATCTGGGGACGTTGGCGGTCATCTGGGTACGGTAGCGGGGCGTTTGGTGGGGGACTGGAGCCCGCCGCCGACGCTGGAGATGACGAGTCCCGTTTGTTGATACGGAGAGGGCCGATGGTGGGCGATTCTTGTCTTGCTGGGCGGTCGTTGAGGAAAAGCTCCTCCGGATGGAGGGCACGACTGCTGCTACTCATGGTGCCTTGAGAGATTGCTGCTGGGCTTGAAGCTGCAGAAGGATAGAATTCAGCCACAGCAGAATGCGAGGTACTCCCAATTACGGAGATAAGCGCGAAGATCGTTGGGGGTGCGGGGCAGAGACGGGCAAAACTCCAGGGTTATTTCATCTATTCATAGAAATTGTCCGGGAGTAAGAAGAAAAAGGAAAAATGAAAAGGTGAAGAAGTTCAGGGAGATTTGTGCTGTAGCCGCCAAGGGCGAGACGCCGACCCCGCAGGTGACGAGAATCATCACAAGTTGCTGCCTTGGGGCCTGCATACTATACTGTACTATACTATGTACTATGTTAGTACTGGGATAGTAGAACATTGCAATGTACGGAGTAGTGAGATCAATATTTACATTCTAATCTATGGCTCGGCCCGAGCAGTTCCATGGATCAACAGGATCAAGATCAAGATCAAATCCCACATATTCATTTCTATACATACAACCCATATCCATCGTCAATCATGCTAACATACAACCTTAGTCCCAAAAATACAAATATGCCCTAAGCGCCAATGCTTATCAAAAACCCAAAAAAAAAGAAAACTCCACTATCCAATCAAAACCCGAAATTGACCATTTGAAGTCCCTCCTGAGCCATAAGGTCAGACCAATCCACATCAAATGTATGACCCACATGCATGAGTCGCTCCAACTGCCGCTCATAGACAATCTGCAGGATAGCACGGGTGGTAGCTGCATTGCGACCCATACCATCTTCCTCGTCTTCCATGCTAGTCATCAATTCCATCGCCATCATCTTCAATCCACTCTCCGATGCCGTAGCACCTGCTAGGAATAAGGGGAAGACGAGGAAGTGTCGATCAGCGCGTCGAGTGTGTGTAGTTCGCTCGGCTAAGCGTAGGATCTCCGTTACGTGGTGGTCGATTTCGCCGTCTGGGGAGAAATCCGACTCGACACGTTGTCCGGGCCACATGCTGCTATAGGAAAAGAGTTGACAAGCATGGTACAGTGTAGCAGACTAGACGTAGTTAGCTTTCTTTCCTTTCCTTTCCTTTTTGGATAGGGGAAAGATTAAACTAACCTGCTGCATGATTTCCCGAGACCGTCGCGGGAGGTTATCCTGGTGTTGATGTAAGAAAGCGACATCGGGTGATTCCCACAGTCTTCCGAAAGCCTGACGCAGATCGCTTAATTCCTGGGATCTCTTATCGAACTCTGCAAAGGGGACGTTCCGTTTATCATGACGAAGCCGAGTAGCCAAGAAGCCAAGTTGAGCGGCAAGCCGGAATGTGTCGTGGTACAGACGCATAATCACCGGTAAGCTCTCATGTTCATCGGAGTAAATCACACTGTAGCCCTCTGGGGCAGAAGGATAGAGAAGACACTCAGAGCCTGGAAGCATCTGGTGGTCGATGACAGCTTGTACAAACTCTCCGGTCCCTGCTCCACTGAAGAGGGCGTACAAGTCAATGTGGCACACCCACCAAAGGATAAATGGGTGGGGTTCTTGGCCGTACTTGGCCCGTCGAAGGAACGCGATGTGAAGGAGGCGGGAGATATGGTGAGACCAGAGGTTCGAGCCGTGTGGCTCGGCAGCTGCGATCTGCGGGATGTAAGTATATAGACTATAAGAATTGGGAATTGGAACCTCTTACCTCGTAGATCAGAAGCAGGAAGTGGGTGAGGAACAGTCCGTCGGAAACGAGATCATCGTTATTCCGTAGACTGACCTGGAGCGAGGGAAAAGCTTGCTGATAATATTGTAGCGCATCGACATTGTGACCTGTGCCGCTGTGCGAAAGACTAAGGGCCGATACAGCCATCATAGCGTGGGAAAGCTGTAGTTCTTATTAGCATGAACATGACATGAGCTAAAGAATAACCATACGCACAGGAGGGAAACGAGTGGCTTCCTGCTCTAGGAAGTCCATGCTAAGAGTCATAAAATGACTATCAGATCCAGAAGAATCATCAAGCCTATGGTCATGAGGGAACAACTGCCGCCATACGACCTGACGGAAATGGGAAAAGATCGTAGAATCCTGACTATTTTGCTGATCGAGACGCGGATGCAAGAAAGTCATCTCCTCTACCTTGACATCAGGCGAAGGAAGCGAAGTGAAATCTGGCGAGAGAGACAGATTGCAGAAAGGATCTGAGATCTCCGATGTTGGCGAGATCCTCGAGATCTTCCCATTCGACGGCGAGCGTCTCGTGGCATCTTCGAAAGTCTTCAAAATCACCACATTGGGATCTTCACCTCGGACACTGGAGTCGCCCTTGGCCGCGCTCGTGGGGCTACTAGCCACAGAGCTCCTACACTCGCTAGGATTTGATCTAGCTTTCTCAATTGTATCGTCTGCATATTCAGGCAGCGAGGAGAAACTGTCTGGTGTCATGACGACATGGTACGTGCCGGGACTAAAGGCCTCTGCTTTCTTTTCGCGCTCTTCGTCCGAAGTGAGCAGGGAAAAGGGCGGGAGTGAATCCCCGGACGAGAAATAATCGGTTCTCTCATCATTGGAACTCGGCGAAGTGACTACTCTAGTTAGTACTAAAAAAAGAAACCCTCGTTTTTTTTTTTAAAAAAAAGGGGTGCTTACGATCCCAAACGACATGGCCATTTGTCTTAACATCGGCCATGCGGCCCATGATACGAGGGGTATCATCACGAAAGGCTAGCCGAGGGCGATAATCGCAAGTATGGCCTAGACGTGTACATTGCTGTGAAGAAGTTTAAGTCAGTGTGTGGAGATATTAAAGCGTGAAGAATGCATACATTACATTGCGGGTGTCCTTCATCACATTTGACTAGAGAATGTGTGTCAGCCACGGAATTGGACCTCGGGAGTTCTGTCCTCCGTGAGTGACTTACCCTTTCGACTCTGAAAAAAGAAAAAGAAAGAAAAAATAACAATTAATCAACTGTTTTCCTTCTGAGTTGAGGAAAACATAAAAAAATAACTCACTCGGCATGTCCTAGAAGATATAAGCATGGATTCGGGGAATAGTCAAAATATAGAGACGATCACTTACCAACAACCGGTACGAGATCGGGGAGGCAAGCGGATGCGCGGTGGAGCGATCAATGCCTTTTCGGACTTGGCCAAGGCATCGAAAAGATCTTCCTTGGGGGCAATGATGGGTAACCGCAGAGGAGGTTTCCCAGAGGCTTTGCTCCGTCTGTTTTGCATGACCAGGCTGGTTGCCGTCATAAGGTTGGGCTATGATCAAAGGGTCAGTGGTGTACAGATGTGGACGGAATTGGAACACACTTACTAGGGTACTTTGTACAGGATAAGTATATTAATGATTCAATTGTGTGCGGGGAAGAAGAAAGAGAACTAGAAGAATATGGGGGAAGAGGTAAATTAAAGAATAGAAAAAAAAAAGAAGGTATAATAAGATTGAAGATAGAGGGGGAAAAGGGAAGGGAAAGGCTAGATGTATATTCTCAGAAAAATGCATAGGTTCATGGGCGCAGTATTTTGGACGGGTGGCGGGAATTAGGGGAAAATAGAATAAAATATTATTTATATTATATTATTATTATATTTATAAATGTAGAAATGTATTATTGTATTATTCGATTATTTGGAAAGGATGACTATAGAGCTAAGGGGAAAACAGCGAAGGGGAGAGAAAATAGAAGAAGAAAAAAAAAAGGACAAAAAAAAGTCAAAAACCAAGGGGGAAAAAAAAGAAAGAAGAAAAAAACACCCCAAATGGCATGCAGATGCCAACCATGTGGACGAATCTTGGAAGTTACTATTATTACTCTTAGCACCCCAAAAAAACAGGGTTGTCCCGGACTAAGGGGAAGGGAAGGGAAAAGAGAGAGAGAGAGATAGAGGAAAGGGAAGCCAAGGGGCTGGCTGAAGCCACGTCGAGAGGAAGAGGGAATGACTCCGTACTATCGGGGCCGAAGAAGGGACTCAATTAGGAATCTACTTCAGACACATCTGGGGGAAACTAACCAAAGTCTCGATCGGCCGGGACCCCGGTCTGGATCGACCTGCTGAGGTGAAAATCGAGGAGATCACACTTTCGGCCATTTCGGGCCATTTTAGGCCATTTCGGGCCAAGTTTGGACTGTTTGGGACAAGTTCAGACCAAGTTCAGACCAAGTTTCGACCAAGTTTACCACATTTTGGGACTCTCCGCATTCCAAGCGGACTTGGCCGAGATTTAAGCGAGTGGCGTAGAACTTGGAGCATTTTCACAGGAATTTAACTCATCTCAAGGCTGTATACTCTTCTCCTCAAAGACTTCCTATTGGTACGATTGCTATAGCCCCCTCGTATCGACTCCCAGATGGGTAACACAAAATAAAAATAAGAAATAAGAAATAAGCATCATTCATGATCGACCCTGTAGATGAAGAATAATAAAATAAAATTAAAATAAAATAAAAAAATGCTAAACCACGTGGGTTTCTTAATTCGGGAGAGCTAAGGCCTCGTCCAGTAATCGTTGTACTGGTCCGGATCGCTCACTGGCCCTCCACTCACGAACTTGGACGATAAGTGTGTCAGGCACACCCGCTTGGGCATGCGGACATAGTTTCAGGTACGCCAGAATGGCCTCTGCACGACCCTTGCGGATGGCCTCGACAGACCCGTCTACTTCCCCCGTGAGAATCTTGTCCGCCAGAGTAGTTAAGGGTGCGGCCATTTGTTCACCGGAGGCATCCGGTGAAACGATCCACTGATCCACTCGTGTAAAGAACGCCCGGAGCTCATCGTAGCCCGTGCTCACGACCTGTCGTCCACCTTGGTGGAGGACTTGAGCTAGCGGACCGGTCACCTGTTCCACGTACTTTCCCAGCACTGTGGTTAGTGTTAGCAAGGCGTGACGCTAGGGGGTTTCCCACAATTTGAGGGTAATTTAGGGGATTGGCAGGATTTAGGGGGGATTTTAGGGAGGGAATTTAGACTGACCTTCACCCGAACCGGCGGTGGGGTTGAAACATTGCAGGAGACATTGTACACACGCCGCAAGGGTGTCATCTTGGGTCGAGCCGCGCCCATTCCTCGAGTCTATCTCCATCTGGTCTTGGTCTTGGTCTTCCAACTCTTCCACCACCCCCGGAATAATCTTTAATACATCCGGCATGAAATTGAGATCCTTGCGGGCCTGTGCGATCTCGCCCATAGCTCGTAGTCCATGCGGCCGGTAGAGTACGTTAGCTCGCTTCGCTTCGCGAACCGTAATAGTCTGACATGCGTTAGCTCAATTGCATAGTTCGAACCCGTTGCCTCGTAATCGATTAAAATCAGTGGCGACATGTCAGCCCATACCTTCATTAGGTTCCTCAACTCCTCATTGGCTTGCCACAACTTTTGCGCTTGCCCGCTAAATTTCACTAGTGCCTTAAGCACCACTTCTTTACCTTCCCACGTCTTCCCCGCCAGAGCGCGCTCTAATACCGGCCAAACTAATTGAGCCGTCGGAAGGTCAATCTCTGCATCAAGCGATAAAACTGCTTGCGCAATTGCCCGTGCGGCCGTGTGCTTGATAGCCCAGCGGGGAGAGTCCAAATTGTCCGAAACGAGCCCCACAATCTCGCGAATGTAAAGCGATACGGCACGCGATCCACCGACGTTATCTTGCCATGTCTTCTCAAACTGCTCTTTCACATGCTCGTCGCCATCGTGCTTGCACACAAAGACAAACGGCAACGCGCTCGCCGCAAATGCCATGAACCGATCGTTGGACAGTTTGGACGCCGAGTACAGGATCTCACCGGAGATCACGCGTGGAGTGGCATCCTCAGCTGTCAGATAAAGGTTTTTGGCATAGTCAAAGGTCTTGAGAACCCGATCGTCCGAAGCGAGCCGCAGCAGATAACCCATGGATGAGCAGTACGAGGCGCTGACTGTGTCGTTTCGGTCCACCACGTACTTGGTCAGGATTTGGATAAATCGATCTGCGTACGGGCGGAAGAGCAGGGTTTTCATACTAAGCAGCACCAGAACGCGGCTGCAACCCACCTTTGATGGCAGGCCCACGGCCGACCGAAGCACATCTTCGAGTCTATGCGCTAGTTCATCGAGATTACTTTCATCCAAGTTGTCAATCAGATACCGCTCAATCACCTCCATCATGGGGGATGCGCGGATGCTAGACAGACGCATTTTGTCAATCTCTTGACCGGTGAGACCATATTTGTCGGCATTGAGGTGGACATAGTTGACAGCCTGCGGCTCCAAGGAGCTGAGAGCGCTCAGGAATTTCTCCAGCATATTGGGAACGTGGGGGCGCAGTAAGCTTCCAGGGCTCTTCTTAATCATTGAAATAAGAGCACCGATTGCGTACCCCTGCACTTCTTCCACGCTGGAATCCAGTCCCTTATCGCTCAGAAGGAAGGGGATAGCACTTTTGAGTAAAGTACCTGCGCGCTTCTCCGAGCCGCTCGTCTCGAGTGTGCGGATGACCGAATTGGTAATGGTTTGACAGAGCTTCAGTGCGGCAGTGCGGACAGATTCCTTGATATCATCCAGTAGTTTGAAAGCCTTGCTATAGATCTCATCGAGATACTGGGCGTACTTCTCCGGACGGCGACCTTGAATCAAGTCTGCCACGGCAGCACAACTTGCTTGCCGAACACGCCATTCTCGACCAGCTAGAACGCTCTTGAGTAGATCCTGCATGATATCATCAAAGTGGGTATCAATGACAACGGTAGGGTCTTTAACTAGTGCTTGCCAGATAGTGTTCATAGATCTTTGCACGTTCGGGTTAGGATCGAACCGGTAACGGAAAAGCTTGGGGTAAATCTTGGGGTTCTTCGCCAGGTAGCCATCGACACTAGAATCAGAGAAGATGCTGCTGATTCCGAAGCGGCCAAATGCCGCACGATTTGTCCAAATAGCATTGTTTGAAGCCAGTGACATAAACCGGTAAACCAGAGTGGGGTCACCCGCCTCGGCAGCCAGGTTCATGATATCCTTGTAGGTATTGACAGACGATCCTTCACCAGTGGGGAGGGCCCCAGGCTCAAACAGCTGTGTGTCAGCCTCAATCTTGCCGCCTCCGAGATTGGGACCAGTTGAGGTGAATGACTCGACCAAATCTTGGACCAAATCATCCTTCAGGGATTGGTCGCCGATCTCGTATACAAGGCTGAGTCCGTGCGCTCCAGTCTCCTGCACCACTTCATCCCGGTTTCCAAGAAGGCTGCTGAAAGTAGCTTGGCACTTGCGCAGCCGCTCCTGCATCTCCTGCAGGTGACCGCAGTTCTTAACCAACGATAACAGCCAAATTGAGGAAGCCTTCCGCAGAGATGGCTTGGGCGCAATGCAATCGGCAATGACCTTGTCACAGATGAGTGTAAATACTGAGCGCGGGACGTCTGTGCGAGGGAACTCTGAATCGATGTCGAACTCTTGAATAAGCGCTCGAGAATCCCAACCAACGGCGACATTGCTCAAGGCCTCGCCTACGGTGAACTGAACTTCGGGACTGCGGATTTCATGTAGACTGTAGAGTGAACTTAGGAAATCGTTGAACAAGGTACTATCCGACCCAGACCGGGAAAATGTCATAGTCAACAACCCCAAAGAGCTGATAGGGATTTGATTCTCGGTTTTGGCGTCGCGCGATAGCTTTTCCAGGATCTTCTTCCAGCCATCTTCTGTGATAATATCAAGAGACAGCACACCAGATAGACTTAGCTGTCCAATGGCCTCCTGTGCAGTCCTTTGGAGCAGAGTATCCCGGGAAACATCCAGAATGTCAAACAATGTTTCAATAAACTGTTTAGTTTGTGCTTCTGGGGCTCGGTTCAGTAGACCGCGGTACGCAAGTCGACTCAACAAATACGAGAGCGCCAAAATCGCCCCACGAGCTCGCATGACCTCTTGACCAACAGCAGTGTTCCATGATTGAATGGTAGCAGTCAGTTGAGCAATGAAACTCTTCAGTTGGTCCCCCGAGAAGGCAGGATGCGAGACCAGAATTCCAAATGCCCGTGCAGTAATACCTTGGTTATCTTGGTTGTTGCTGCAAATAGGCTCCATTAAGGACGTCGCGCGCGAGATTAAGTGTTCAACAACGTCATTGGGTGCTAGCGAGCAGATTTCGACGAAATGAATACCACACTGCCGCAGGCCTTCGCGCTCGCCAGTTACAAGACCTTCAAGGGTGCCAGACAAAAATGCCAAAACAGACTCCATTGCAGACTCCCGAATGTATTTTCTCACGGCTGAACGGGCCTCCACGCTGGTGGAGAGGAGCACTTCTAGTTTATAGTCCCAATCTTCTTCTAGATCTGCAGCAACCCCCGAGGCTGAGAACGCCTCCCAAAGCAATGTATTTCGGAGGAATGAGATGGCAGGCATGAATGAACCTTTATAGGGACCAGATAGTAGTTGGGATGCAGACAAAGCTTGAACATTCAAATGTTCCTCTTGTCCTCCTGAACCAAGCAGGAAACGAGTAGCCTCATTGAACTTTGGGAAGTCGAACCAGGTTTCGTCGCGAACTGGGGCTGCCGATGAAGCTGACCACTTCCCATCTTTGGCAGGGTTTAGTAGCCGGTACCAGTAAGGATGAAGACCTTTCTTTCCTTCCTCGACGATCTCTTGTTGTCTCTCTGGGCCTCTTGCAATGGCCATCAAATCAATCCAACGGGCGACTACATCGTTAAATGGTAGGAATCTGTTCGCAAAACGAACTGCGGCATACTGAACACCTCGCACAGCACGATAACCAGTGTCGGGATCAATATCTCCGGGCTGCATGCTCATCTGACGAACAAGGAATGGTCGCAGCTGGTCCTGGAAGGTCTTGTCATGGCTGTCTAACGAAGAATTGAGGATACTTCCTAGTGCCTGATCGATGCTGACGAATATCTGAGGACTTGAGTCATCCGCACTCAAGGAAGCAAAGAGCCATCGGACCAGGTCAAATTCAAAGTTCTCTACAGCATCGGCTTGCGCCATGAAGTCGACCTTGGGGACCATGATACCGATGCTCTCGTAGGCAAGACCTCGCAAACTGAGGTCTGTTGTGGGTAGTTTCTGCCCGCTAGCGGCCGGACTTGGCCATCCTTGAGACTGAATGAAATCCCTCAGTCCTGCAATAAGTTTGGGTGCGATTTGGTTGAGATCCGACGGTGCGCCCATACGGACAACCCAAGTAGTAAACGTAAAAATCTGGGTCCGTAATTTCGATGCTTGCAGCCCCTGGGAGGATCTAGCAGAGTCTGATAGAAGCCCATCTTCAATGAGTCTCATTATTCGCTGGGGGTCTGCAGTAGCTTTGATGGACTTCCCCAGAAAGACGAGGAGCTTCACTTGGAGTGGAGGGCGTGCGGGAGGAGCACCACCGGTGCCGAAATACAAATCATACAACTCCTGCACAACACCAGGATTCTCAATATCCGCAGCAAATCGCTTCAGAGTCTCATCTCCCAGATCGGCAAGGCGGGAGTTGGGATCAGCAGAAGCGATCAGCGAAGGCAGGAATCGTTGTGGATCCTCAAAAGCACCGCTTCCGATGAATCGAAGGGCAGTGACCTTTGTCTCGGTCAGATTCAAGCCACCATCCGTAGAAGGGTTCCATGTCTCGTTTCCGGGAGCACCCTTGTTCAAGAACTTATACTCATCTGGAGATAGACCGGGACATGTTGAAGTTTCCCTAGGGCCAGGGGTAAGAAGTAACAATTTCGCGAGCCAAAAGGACAAGAATTTAGAGTCTTCATCCGATAAAGCGAGCCGGGCCTTCAGGCGCTGGTCTTCTTCGCTACCCTTTGCTGGCAGCTTGAGAAGTGGCAATAGACGCAAAACAAGATTGAATACGATAGCACCCTGAGTGGGTGACGTTCCAATCTTCGAGATACCCTGGAGCAAGGGCAATAGGATTTCGACTCTAGCTTCGGAGCCGAGACGATCAATGCCTTGTTGAGCATAGATGAGATCAAAATGCCTGATCAATTGAGAATTTTGCTCCTTGAACTGCTTCAGCAATGCTGCCACGGGCAGCTGGATAGAGGGGGATTTGACTCGGGTGTTGACATGCTGGCAGACCGAGATGATTTTGTTGCGCACCTCCACGCTTTCTGACCCAAGCTTCAACAACAATGGAGGCAGATATGTTCCGAGTAGTGACTGCAGCTTCTCATCTGTGTCTGCCATAGCAATTCTGAATTCCACCTTTCCTATCAGGCTTAACTCGCGAGCCTCAGGACTCTGAGAGTCCGCCATGATGAAAATATTTTGCAAAAAGACGATTCTAACAGAGCATAAAATTGACACAATGGGAAAACGCCAATATGACCAGATTTATAAATGAAGAAATGATATAGGCAACTGCACTCACGTCATTGCGAACAGTATGGGGGGGGCACCTGCCCAGGTGGTCGATTGATTAGTCATTATGTGATTAGTCACTTTTCTTGGCAGGCCCTCTATATCTGGCAATCAACATAGATAAGTTTACAATATATGACCTTGGAAGTAAGAAAATAAGGGGAGAGTAAGCAAGTGAACATTGAGTCTACATCAAAATAAGACATAGCATGTTCTAAAATACAGTAGATATTAATATCAACCCTCCATTCTTTGCTCAGCAGCTTCACCTCTCAAGAACCGACCAACCTCCCTTTCTGCCTCAGCTGAAAGATCAGAGTCATCTTTCTGCTTGGCATTTCCAAAGAGACATTGCCAAAGGTCGTCCTTCTTTACCATCTCTCCACCTACAGAGCCACGTTGCATCAAGGTTGTGAGAGTGGCATCTTGTAGTTCCATCGAGTTGGCAGATTCAATAGCCTCTTCAGTAACACCATCGCTGTCGGCGGGGGTTTTCAAGAGTGCCGTTTTGACTTGTCTCTCCTTCTCCATGATGTGAGCCAGGCGTCGGGTTACTGAGATCTCATATATGGATTCTTCCACCGTGCCAGAGACAAGGTACATCCATACTGTTGTTGGCCGATTTTGGCCAATACGATGCACTCGAGCAATGACCTGGAGCTCGATTGCTGTGTTGATTAGGGGCTCACATAGAAAGACATGGGTTGCAACGATCAGATTCAGTCCGGATGACTGTGCTTTGCCATGCAAACAAAAGCACTCAATCTAGATTATAAATCGTCAGCGTATTTCTTTCAATGAGGGATACGTCCAGGTAGCTTACAGCCGGGTCTGTTTTGAAATTCTCAATGCCATCCGGAGAGTCAATACTGGTAGCGACTATTCCAAGGGATCTGAATGCGAACTGTAAGTGCGACAGAAAGGTTCCGTATTGAGAGAAAACGATCGACTTGGCGCCAGGATCGTGTTCCCGCAGCCATAGGATGTGTCGGGCCAGAGTGTCGATTTTTGTCCCGTAAGATTGCTCTAAGTCAATTTTCTTAATCTCATTGAGATGACCGGAGCTGATGTCACTGTAAATCGCATTCTGGGAATGACCTTCGTGTTCCAATTTGATGGGTGTCTTTTCCTCTTGAACAACTAGGTCCTGTGGCTTGTATGTGATCTGATGGAAATCATTACGCTTCAATTTCCGCTTGCACATTGGGCAATTTTGGTGTGCAGCCCACCATAGTCGCAAACAGTCAGTACAATACTTGTGACCACACACGGTCAACACACCTGCATGAAAGGTCAGTCTGCGTGTAAAAGATACATCCAGGGAAAGCAATACTCACCAACTTCGAAGGTCGATTGGCAGACAATGCACTCTCGAGCGTTACTGTCGAAGCTAGCATCATCTCTTAGGTGAATGAGATATCTTGCTTTGGACTTGAGAGATGCAATCTTTCCTTCAGTGACGCCCTCTCGCTCCAGCGCCAGGGTAAAAGCGGTTTCATCTAGTGGCTTGCCTGCATTTTCCTCATCGTATGGGGCCACTGTATCTGAAATCTGCTGCAGGTGACGGTAATACTCCAGTCTACTGTTCATGGCGTCGAGGAAAATTTGAACTTCTTTGCCCAGTTTGTTCGATACTTTCAGTTGCTCAGCGATCATCTGACCGGCGTTTTTCAAGACCATTTCGACAATCTCCTGTTCGGCACGAGCACGCGCATTGCCTAAACCAGCTTGCCACTCCAGCGATGTCACAAGTTTGCGAAGTTCACTGACAATGTTGCGGAGCGATCCAAGATCAGGATCTGGCATGAACTGACTGCGAGTTTCCATAATCTCGAGAAATAGCCGTGGAGAGGGCCCCTCACCTCTTTGAGCCTGGACAATTCCGGATTTGACTTCGTGGGAGATAAGAGTGTTCCTTTGACCAGTGAGAGCGTCATGACGGTCGCTACACATTGCCCTCAAAGCCTCCATGTAGACATACATCTCATCTTGATGTTTTGTTGACCGCTCATACTCATCGCCTTCCAGCTTTGCTTCTTCTTCCTGGTCAATGAGTGACTGAGATACCAGTCTGGCCATGACATCCCGCCATTCCTTGTATTGCTCGGCATGCCTATTAAGAGCATCACAGAAATCTTCAAACTTGGTGAGCAAATTGTACGACTCAACTCCTTTGCTATAGAGATGGGGTTTCATTTTCGGGATCTCCGCGAACTTTTTGTCTCGTGCCTTAATCTTGATTTCTTTCATGCGGCGCTCGACTTTCCGGGAAATATCAGTCAACATCTCTTTGCGAATGACTTTTGCAGCCTCATAAGCATCCTCTTCACGTTTCTCAAGCGCCTTGAACTCATCCGAATCTGGCTGGGTCAAATTTGGGTCGCTCTTGATTTGGTAATATGCGTTCGCAGTGAAGAACACTGCGATATGCTGGACCTCGAGTGCAGCTCGAAGCCTTAGTCGACACTGACCGAGGTGACTGTTATTGTCTACATCTTCCTCTTTTTCATCCTCGTCATCCTCGCCATCCAGATCAATGAGTCCTGGAGTAGCCCCGTTGTTGTCACCGGTAGCGCCTTTGGTATTCAGTAGGCGAGGTTGCTCTCTGCTGTCTTCAACCAGCTTAGTGGCATGGTCTAATGCTTTCTGCCAAAGAGCGAGAGCTTCTTGGCGACGTTTTGCATTTTCTAGAAGCTGGCCTCGTCGAAGGTGAGATAACAGGAGCGACCGTTCTTCCGTACGTATAGCCGCCTCGTTGGCCTCAGTCATGGCTTCTAGAACTTGGGCCACAGTCCGCAAGGGAGAGCCTGTACCTAGGGTTCGGCGATAGCTGAGTTCGGGATGGAGGCACGCTTGGCGGAGTCTCGTCAGCCAAGTACGCATCTTATCCACAATTGCAGGATCTTCGGGGTCCCAGTCGCCTCGAAGGGGGCTCCTAAGCCGTTCAAACCGCACTCTTCACACATTTCATCAAAAATCTGAGCGTACTTCTGTTCTTCTATAGCTGTGAAGGGAGTAGTGATAACGATACGCTTTTGGGGTGGTAGTCGAAGCTCATCTAGTAACTGGCCTTTCCTGTGCCGAAGAGCGATTTTGTTTATGATTTTGGCAAGAACTGACCCAAAACACAGACACAGCCTTCTCCACAAAGGGGCTGAAAAGCAGAACGGCTCATAATGAAGGAAAAGAAGAAGGCCAAACAGGTCGTCTATGTTTCTGCGCAGTGGGGTACCGGTCACAGCCCAAGCAATCTCTCGAGGGATCAAGCGAGCTACTTTTGCCGCATTGCTGACTCCACTCTCTATCATCTGAGCTTCATCCAGACATACACGCCACCATGAGAGGCGAACGAGCGGTGTCTTCCTCTGTACAAATCGCTTTTCGTGCCGTAGAGACCGTTTCGGGGTAACACCCGTATAGTGAATTTCTTTCGCGATGACATTGTAGGTGGTCAGAACTACATCGAACTCGGCAAGCTCTTCGACAATCATGTCGTCAGTTGTTTCTTTCCCACGTTTGATGCCATTGTAATGGTAAACACGCAGAGTGGGAGCATGCTCTTTCAACTCTTGTTTCCATTGCTCAAGGATCGCGGGTGGTGTAATGATCAAAGTGGCGCCAGTAGATCTCAACCCATCAGAATCAGCCTTGATAGGCTGCGACGCTCGCTTATTTAGGCTTATCAACGCAATAACTTCGACTGTCTTGCCCAACCCCATCTCCTCTGCAAGTATTCCACCTTTCAGATTATCTGCGGCATCATGCCACCCAGAAAGTTCTGTTGTCAGGATCATGAAAAGATAACTGAAGTAGTAGGTCCGTCCATCAGCATCTTTTGTGGAACTGAAAGAAACTGGAAGGTCATTTTTGGGCACCTCCATGGGCATAATCTCGCCATTTGGTCCGACCTCTCTTCCTTCTCTTTGTAAAAGCCAGCGAACTGCTCTTCTCTGGAACGGAAATAGGTTGCATTTTAAATCGGGGCATTTGATATTCGTTGAACTGTCTGTGAGTTTGGGAACGTGAACATTTTTGTAGAAATCTCGGGGAGACCATTCTTGGGGGTTCCCAGCATTTTATCACGATATTCACGTGGTTTGGTCAATCCCGATGGGCGAACACATTTTTCCTGCAGCACATATCTCGTAAAAACTTCCAGGTCTGCATCCGTCAAACGGTTCAAATCTGGGGTCTCGATAGAATCGCTCCAAAGAACAACCGTCTCGAGAGTAAAAGTTGCTCCATCTGGCAAGGCACACAGGTGCGCTTGGTAGCAGGCTGTTGGCACATTATTGGAGAACTGGTCCACGTGAGGAAGTTTACTCGCGACCTGAAGTTGCCCAAGGAGATCAAACAGCCGCATATCCTCGCATGGATATATCAGCAACTCTTCTTTGTCGAGACTAGATATTTCCAGTTCCATACGATTGGGGTCGCCATTGGCTGGGTCTGGTTGTGTGTTGTTCAGATCGTCGTCGAGAAAATGAACGCTTCGAACATCTAGGAGTATAGGAACGCGGGAGGTGGAGAGATTTTGGTCGTACGGCCTTTTTAATTGGGGTGTGCTCGTATTCGAGGGCTTCTGCAGAGGGTAATAGATCAGTCGTTTTGCCCTAGAGCGGGATACCAGTGGCAACCTACTATGCGCATTGTCAACCGTGCTAATGGAATGTAGCCCAGAGGGATTCCCGTCGCTGTTACTCCATTTTCTTTTGTAAGACTCCTTGCGCCCCCTTTAGTAGTCTTGTGCCGCTTAGTGGGACGGTCATCGCATTGTTGGAAGATGGGGTATAGAGACTCGAGAGTCGCGTCTAGAATAATGATGGATGTCAGTGCTTCAATTTCGTCAGCACAATCAGCAAGCAAGAGTAAATACCTGGTAATGCGATATCCTCTACGACCACGCTCATTTTGAAAACTACAGCCTATCCTGTCGTCACAATAGAGAGTTGACAAGAAGAGAGAATGCGACTGGGGAAGATGGGGCTATCATCTTATCGTAATTATCACGGGAAGATAAGGCAAGTGCCAACCTTATCGTCGGCTAAATGCAACTCCGACACAACTTGCCCAGGTAGTATATCAAGACGACAACAGCTCAGGTCTCAAAATACTACATCCAGCTCTCTAATCCAATCTATTTATTGGATCTTATAGTAGTTTGATAATAGTCATGCTGTTGATACAAATTGTATGATGGTTTATTGTGTAAACATATCTCGATGTTTCCACGGTTCTAGGTGGATATATACATTGAATCGTAGTAGTATAAATAGCAGAGTATTGAATAAAACCCGCATATTCATACTAGGGAAATACACAAACATGTCTCTGTTCAGTGCTAAATACTTCGACTAATATTAAAACATTGAAAAGAATCAGAATATCTCCATGAAAGACACAATCTCGCAAATTACAGCAAGGCAGACTCAAAAAGCCCCAACCTTATCATCATGGCAAAACGGACAAGCAGTAAAGTACTCTGCCAGCCCCACCTGGATCTGCCATTTCGCAAAACAAGACAGACAAGAGAAAGACTGAACAAGACGAACTCTCGTAGACGCAGACTGAGGCAACCACCTGTATGAAAGCAACACAAGATCGGTAGCAAGGCCGGGAGTTTCTTGAACCAGTTTCTCGAATACCTTCTTCTCGCGCAGTTCCCTCCTGTGCTTTTGACAAACCGCGACCACCACATCCCGGAGGCCCCGATCCGCCTGTGGTGTTGTTTTGTATGCTTCAAAAGCAGCAGTCAAGAATTCGTCCGTGTCCCAGTGGTCTTGGGCGAGGGTGACGAAGGTTAATTTTGCTTGGATTTTGAGATATTCCACTTCGAATCTGTTGGCAATGGCGTATACTTGGACATTAAACAACAGGGGGCACATTCGAGGCTTGGGTTGGATGATATCGTAATGTAATCCGTAGAAAGAGCGTATCATGGCTTCAACGACGCGAGGATGCTCATCCTTTATTTCGAATACATGGGCCTCTTTGTTTTCCTGCAATGATCAACTTCAGATGAGCTTGTGGATAGTGAAGAGCTTGGGCCCTGGGGAGACTTGCACGGACATTAGAGAAGATTCGGCGGAAAGCTTCGGATCGGCTGCAGACCATGAGTTTATGTACCTTCAAGGCTTGGTCCGTGGTGTAAATGGTGAGGTCGGAGAAGGTGCCTGTGGGGTAAAGCCTGTCTCTAGTCAGTACTCTCATCCATGCAGTGTGTAAACCAAGAACTTACTCCCCTAGTTGGTGGACAAACCGATCAGTACCCTCGACGCTGTGAGCAGTAAGTTCCATTGCAAAAGCACGCCGAAGAGAGTTTTGAAGCGAAGTGGATGTGAAGGGGACATGGAAGGACCAGTAGAATATGAGAAGAAGAAGAAGAAGAAGAAGAAGAAGAAGAAGAAGAAGAAGTAAAATAAGGACCCGAATTTGGCGAGGTAACAACGACGAGCAGTTCAGATGCTTTTTATCTTCAATGTCATGAGACTGAAATGTCGAAACGAAGGTAAGTGATGATCTACAGCCTTGTCTCATCTCCAAATTAGTCTTATTTGTGTAAAAGCAATTCTCGGGTCTCCTACGACATCATACTAACTCACTATCAGCGCTCTTCTATCATGACGCGCTGTATCCCACCCCCGTGTCCCAAACGGGATATTGTCTACATTGCAACCTTAACGTCCGGAACTCTTCATATTATGTCACCCTCCCTAATTTACAAGAGCTCCAGGTCCCTTTCCAATCATAGCCCTCACACTGTCTCTCCCAGTATTCTCATGATCTTGTGCAGAAGAAGCCGATGTCTTGCCTTTAGGGTCGGTGTCAGAAACAATAGTACCATTGGCAGCATGAACGGATCGATGGTATGAACGCCCATTTGCCTGACTGTCGAACACATTGATAGTGTCGCCCCAAGAGCTTGACTTCCCTCCTGTGACGGACTTATAGCGTGCTGTGCCAGACTGACTTGTGTGTAGGTATGATGGTCCCGATGTCAAGGTATAAGTGGAAATACCGAGCCCTCCTGTTGCCTCGAAATCGAGACCTCTCTTCATCCAAGAGTCAATTGTCGTTTCATTCGAGGTGAGGCCGTAGGTTGAATTGACAACTAAGGGGTATTGGAATGCAATACTGTTTGAAACGGGCGTATCCCCAAGCTCTGTGATAGTGTTCTTGCCAGTTGTGAGTTGTCTGTTAACTTGACTGTATCCCTGCTGGTTGAGAAAACCGTGATTGGAGAATGATAGTGTCTGAGACCATGAGTACATAGAAGAGGTTGCCCTGAAGACTCGCTCGACAACCACAGAGTATGACAAGGAGTCGTTTCCCCCGGTCTTACTTTGCACAAGATTCCGAGTCACAGCAAACACTGGCAAGGGAGCATCCACAGTGGGCCGACTATTGTCCCTAGTAATAGTGGCTTCAGAGGCGGAGCTGTCGTCATCGATATATATGAAAATATTTCCTGTGACAACCCAATATGAGCCCACAGTGTTTGCAAATGTGGCGCTCCCATCTGCCAAGACATCAAGACCAGTCACACGGATCTCAAATGAATGTTGCTTCCCGTCTTGAACCATAGGAAGAAATGGGGAAATATCAATCTCTGGCTGGCGAAGGTCAAATGCATCAGTCCCAACGACCGGACGCCAGAACCCCGGAGTCACGCCTCCCGTGAAAATGATAGGGAATGGCCAGACAAGCCCGGCAAGGATCCCATCGATATAGAGCTGGACTTCACGGAAAGGAGTGTAGCCATATAGCCCACCGACAGTACTTTCAAAGTCTTGGGTATCCTCCGAGAAGACATTAGACCACCAGAACTCTTCCTCTGATTGGCCGCATGCTGATATCGACACAACAGCACGCGATGCCGCAGCAGGGATCTCGTACATGACTGTTGTGTTGTCTGTGGGAAGTTGGAAGGCACTTGAAGAGTTCGATGCTGACTTTTTGGCAGAAATTGGAAGAATGATATCCGCGGTCTTCACATTATGCTCCTCAGAGAAGTGTGCTGTTAATGTGACATTAAACGAGCCAGTGTAGAGATCGTTAATGATATTTCCCAAGTCAAATATGAGCTTCTGGGGGCTCTTCCATAGCGAGTTATACTGCGACATCTCTTTGATATAGGTCCAGACAATCCCATTAGCTGTTGGCTCTGCCGTCGAGGTCCGGAACACTTCATTGTCTCCAAGATACATGAGTGCCAGGCGGTCAAACTGCCTCCCCCGGGAGGTGACTGTGAGATTGATTCGTACAGTATCAAAGTGACAGCTGGGGGGCTCATATTCGCCTAGATAAGTCGCAAGATTAGACCACCGGTATGAGCAACTTTCGAGACCGCTTACCAACAAACGGTGCTCCATAACTGGCGCCAAAAACATGATCCATAAGCAATATCTCGACATCGCAGTTGTTGTTTGCACTGGAATCGAGCGATATTGGCTGATAGAGCTGGAAAAAACCTTGCAAACCAGTCAAGCTAGGTGGATGGGATGAGAAGCCAGCAATGGACTGCAATCCGCTTTGGAGAGAAGAAGCCGATGGGAGATGCCCCAAAAGCAACAATCCACATATGGCGATCAGAACCATAATCACGAGTAGTCCGAAACTTGGATTGGCTCTTCTCAGCCTGCTGTGGGTATCATTCACCTTGGAGTTCGAATCGCAATGATCAATAGACCAAACAGCGCTCGCAGTATATGTCTCTTCGGGCTTTAGTTCTTGATTAAAAACGCACACTGGAGATCGATTACAAGGCCTGCGATATGATAAAACATTGCAGAAGGTGACGACGAGGCAGAGGAGAAGAATATATAACAACCATGCCGCTAGCCGGGTAAAGCAATACTCCATAGGGGATTGCGGATCAGTTGGAAAGGCTAGCATGCTATCTCTGGGCCAGTTAGGACATTGGGTTCTATCAGAGACGGGTGGTTAAATGCTTGTATGTAACCTTGAAAGTGGCTCTTGCATGATATGAGGTGATCTTGTACCTAGACTTGCCCCTGACGATAAGGCGCATAAAGAGGGGAAGGTGCGACGGACGTCCGACGCAAGCCCTATGTAACCCCCCTCGGACTATTATTACCTAGGTACGGTAAATATGCCCTGGCATTTGAATTATCCAATGGCTTCCATTGATATTGACCAAGAAATGCTTGGTACTGTCTAAACCCATATGGCAACATAGCACGGCTAGACGAGTAGAGAGTATAGTGTACAAAAAGAAAGAGAAGTTGTGAGAGATCAAATGTCTCATGTAAAGCAAGTCAAAAACAATCACTCCATATCCCATGCAGACTTTTGTCCCAATTTACATAAACAAGCGCCAGGCACCAAGAATAAGGGCTGCGGTACCAGTGCAGACACCCCTGTAGAGAACAGAAAGTCAGTATAAGCTCGGGCATCAATAAAAGACTTCGGGGATCATACATAAGCCACTGCAACGTCGAGAACTTGACAGCCTCCACTCGTTCCCGTAATCCAGCAACCTCCTGCTCGATTCGCGTTTCAGTCTCCTTGATACGCATTTCTTGGCTATTTGCTTCCTCGCGTATCCGACCCTTCTCAAGGTTCAGATCTAACCGGACCGAGGCTTGTGTCCGTCCAATCTCATCTCGGAGTCGTGAGTTGAGTTTGGCGAGGTCTGCTGCGATCTTCTCGTGTGATGAACGGGTCAACTGTGCCTCAGTCGAGTCTGCATTGAGTAGTTCAGAGCGCAATTTGGCAAAGTCCACTTTTTGTGTATAGGTTGATCTCTCCGAATCTAGCAAAGCGTCTCCCGTTAGATCTCCGATGAGCATCATAAAGCGCGCATGCGCGATAGAAGACGCCTTCACATACCTTCTCGGAGCACCATTGTCCTGGTCAGATTCTGGATTGACTCTTGAATGATATCGTTCAGTACCCGCATCATAGCTACGGACTGCTCCTCGCTGAAGCCCTCCGCTTGGAGGCGCTTCACGAATTTCAGGGTATCAAAGTGGTGATCGCGGGGCCGGACTGGCGTCGCATGAAAGGCGCGACGAGCAGGATGATATGTAGCCACATAGACGCCATTGTGTCGGATCGGATTGCCGCGGGGGGTTGTGTTCGACGTCGCCGGCGTGGTTATAGAGGTTCCTCGGGAAACGAGATATCCGGAGATAGCATCCCGGGAGGATGTGGAGATGAGCTGGGCAGACTGGGAAGGTGGGGTTAGGGAACTGAATCGTCGCTTTACGGGACTCCAGGCTTGAGGAAGTGGCCGTCTTTGACTTGTTGCAAGCGAGGGATGGTGGGTGACGGTAACGGAAGGACGCGAAGAGGAGCTGTTCCAAGTCAGGCGGGGAAGGATATTGCGCGGGACATCCGCGACATGTTTTTGAGGCGCCATGTCAAGGACAGCGGGCAAGCAAATAATTTAAGCAAATAATTTATTCAAGTGTACTTGGAACCGATTAAGAGTGACGCAGAAGAGAACCTTGGAGAGCTTGGAATATCCGGGATGACTAAAGGGGATCGGAAAGATCGACGCTTTCAGTTTCCCGGCGGTGCCCACATTACCCGCATTATCTAAGAGGTTATTGTAGAGTTAGGTAAATTTTCATTTCATGCAATTAGAGGATTATTTTGATCGATCTTTGACTAAAACTGTTTTTCAGAGAATATCCAAATCAGAGTTCGCATGTAAACGCTATCACAAATCCATGCCCTTTCGGCTACCTGACACTCAAATCCAACCTCATATCTACAAGTCAAACAGCTTCTTCAGCTGATCGATGGTATCTTGAGGGCCATCAACGGAGTGACCAATAGTGCGAGGGTCTTCATAGATCTCATAATCGTTTCCTCCGACGAAAGTCTTGTCGCCGAAGAAGTGGATGGTCTTGTATTCAATACCAGAGATGTTCTTTTCAGCCTCGATGTGCTGCAGGCAGTAGGTCTTGTCCCAACCAGTGGGGAAGACATCGAAAGAGATTTGACCACCAATAGAGTAGCTGTGTTGGCGGATCGATTAGCACCATATCAAAAGTCAACCTCGCCGGATAAAGACTTACGTGAGACCGTAGTCGGGGAACTCCTTCTTCAAGGACTCCACCAAGGTCTTTCTGACGTTGTGAATCTTGTCAAAGCTACAGCACAGGTCAGTTAGCCAGTCCATTTATGTGGACATAGTAATGTAAGATCAACACGTACGCTTCGAACTCATCACGCTCCTCGATGCTAGCAGCACGTCCAACGGGGCTAATGTTGACCATTCCATTCCGGAACTCAACGAAAGTACCGCGCTTGCGGGGCAACTTGGTGTTGGCAATGAACTTGAGAACGAAGTCGACCAGCGCTTGGTACTTGTCCTCTCCAAGCCACTGAATGAAGTTGTTGCTGGCAAGCGACTCGCCCAGACGGTATGCGGTCAGACCGTTTTCGGAGAAACAGAAATCGAACATAGTGGTAACATCGATGGTGGATGATCCAAGCTGCTCTTGCTGCTTCACAAGGTTCGACCCGCCAACCTGATTCATGTTAGGAACGGGGTGGGTGTATTGATTGGGAGGAGACGAACGAATCCAATAGCGCACTTGTGGCGCAATCGAGAGAGCAACTCAAGCATCTCTGGCGAGGCATGCTGTAAATGAAATATATTAGTATAATTGAACAGCAGCGAGTCTCATCGCAACCTACCCGTCTTGCGGGGGTGAGAGTCTCGTCAACATCGAACAGAACAACCGTGTTCTTGATGGGACGGTCCTCCAACGAAGGGTAAACACTGGCAGCTTCAGTCATTTTGAACGATTTATTCAATTGAGTCTCAATAAAGAATTTGTCAAAGATAAAAATTGCGGGCAGCTTGGGGGTAAATATAGACAGAGGGGCCCATTTTGGCCGCAAGCGGTGAGTGAAGGCGGGAGCTTAGCGCAAGGCCATTGGGTCCAGAAGCAGAGAGAAGGCCACCTGGTCTGTTTCATTTGTTTTTAGAGAAGATGGATGTTTATTGCATCTAGTGACTCATTAGTACCATGATCTAATTAACCTTTTTTATGTTGCCATTCTGGACTGCTATGTTGCGCAGCATGGACATCTAGACACTGGTGCCTGGCTGTTATCGATAAGAAACTGAGGGGTCAATTATCAGATCAGAATGAGTTAAACATGTGCACTCGAGAATTATCTTAACTACTTGTTATATACCTAGAGATATGCATTTCTTACTGTACTAAGTGGTACATAGCCACGTAGACATATACAGCTGAGATATGCAACCCAACCCACTTCCCACCGAGGCTGTAACAGCCAGCTCCCAAATCCCTAACGCCCAAACCGCTTAGCAAACCAGAAATAGAGAAACTCAGCGTCCCATAGTAGACTGGAAGACCTTTGCTGCAAGTTCGCTCAGGAGTCGCGTCCGATCCTGCGCTGGAAGGTCCAAGAAAACTTCATAGACACTTTTGCCCTTAGCATCGCGGACCGCGCCGAGACGATTACCCGCAACAGCGCCAGCCAGCGCACCAGGCAAATTGCCAACAATGAAGCCCATAGCACCGCCACTGACACCCCCAACCAGTGACCAGAATCTTCCGGTTGGGCGAGTCCGCCTCCCGCCCTCTCCCTCGTTCTCCTCGGCGAGACCCTCTTCGCGCAGCATCTCTTCAAAGACGGAGCCGAACTGGTCATTGTCACGGTCATCGCGGTTCCCACCGAATCCAAAACTGGACCAAGGGAAACCGCCAGCGCCGGTTGGTGGGACTTCCGCTTCTGCTTCCTCCTCGGCTGCTTGGTATGCGCGAGTAGCGTCATACTCTCGGCGGCGCGCGGGGTCAGATAGGGTATAGTAGGCGTCGTTGATTTCTTGGAATTTCTTTGTGCGTGAGGGTCGCTCTGGAGAGTCGATGGGGACTCGATCGGGGTGAGATTTCAGTGATTCCCTAGAGTTGGTTAGAGGGGTCATCTCAAGACGGATGTTGGTACACTCACCTCTTATACGCGGTGCGGATTTGTTGTTGGGTGGCATCTTGGGCGATTCCTAGAGTCTTGTCTGGTACATGTTAGTTGGAACTTGGAACGGTATCGGTTGGGCCTTCATGATAGGTCTTACAGTAATTGGGGCCTGGTCGAGAGTTAGTATAGATTTTGGTAGGAGGGCGGGAGTAAAATTAACATACTGGTCATGGTCACACCTTGATCTGGGATTTAGCAAGAAAGAACGTTCTATGTTAGACTAATGATAGACCTGAAGAAGAATTTGGAGAGTCCTCGATGGCAGGCCATCACATGCAGTGACGTCGTTGTCGCCTGAGGCATTGATCTCCATCAGGTTCCACGGTTCAAGTGTTCGTGATATTTCGAAGGTTGATTTTAAACAACTACATCGATGTACATAATACATATTCCAATATGATTTTGAGATGATTGTTATGTCTACCACTCGAGAGTGGATTGCTTGACTATCTGGGGTACTTTTCCTACCGCACAATGCGGGTTATGTCTAAGTTTAGCCGGTCAAACACCCCAGCCACCTTTATTCCGCCAGGGGGTGACTGATCAATCTCATCTGAATATCTCGTTTGATTCGTCCGAAATTGGCATCCAGTATTATCCACGACCCCCTCTTAGAATCTCAATTGTGCCAGCTGTCAAAAGAGATTTCCTGCATAGAAAATCCGCAAAAGCGGGTGCACACATCGGCCTAGACCTCAGATTGCGCATATCCGCAGCAGCTAGTGGCTGACTTGCATCTGTCTCTTTTCATTCTTTCAATTGCCACACAGAAAGCCAAAAAAAAAGGTTCAAAGAGATAATCAGGGGCATTGTTACGCAGCAACATCTCAAACCCACCTTCCTCTGTGTACCAACCTACCACAATCCAATCCCTCTCCTAACACCCAACCTGTCTTTGAGACCAGACACATCATTCACCGGTCTGACCCAAAGCGCGCAAACTTGCACCCGTAACCAGCCTCAGCCTCAGCCTCAACCTCAGACTCAGACTCAGACTCAGCATCAGCATCACCAACACGATGGGTTGGTTCGACGGTAAATCCAGCGCAGTTTCATCGGGAGGATACGTGCGGCGCCGGTCATCACCAACACCCAGCTCGCACAGCACGCACAGCAGACGCAGCAAATCCGGTTACTCCTCCACCCACCATACGCGAAACTCAGCGCCGTCTTTCTTCGGCGGGCTAGGCGGAGGCCGAACAGGAGGCCGATCAAGCCCATCTGTGTTCTCGTCGTTCTCATCTTCGTCGCGACGGGCCCGCCCCCGTCAGGGATTCGTCCAGCGCATGCTCCGCGACATCAAGCGTCTCTTCCGCGATATCTATCGCTGGGCCCGTCGAAACCCTATGAAGGTCTTTATGATGGTTATCGTGCCGCTTCTGACTAGCGGTGTTCTGCCGAAGTTGCTTGCCATGATTGGCATTCGCTTACCGCATGCCGTTACCAGTGCCCTTGGTGGCGCGACGAAGTCGAGTGGTGCTGCTGCTGGTGGTAGGGGTATGTCGGAGAACATTAGCAGTCTTATGAACATTGCCAAGATGTTTGCATAGGCGATGTCCCCTGGCACAGGCTGTTCTATTTGACCTCCGGAGCTTGAGGTTTCTTTTTTTTCCCCACGATTTGCAATGCTTTCTTGAATTCAACGTATGACGATCACGATATACACCTACTGTCCCTTTGCTGCTTTTTTGCTCTTATAGCTCTCATTCCTTTTTGCTCGTTGGACTTTGCCATTTTCGATGTTGTCATGAACTGGGAGGCCCGTGTGTTCGATAGAATTGGTTTCTTTGCAAAAGTTGTTGTTTTGTATCGACAATGAAACATCTGAAAATGCGAAACAAGTCTAGAAATACATTGAAGTCTCCTATTTATACTAAGCTAGTCCAGTGTTGGTGCCCAAGCCAGTGGGTTATGGTAGTATCGGACAGCTGTACACCGCACTAGTTGTGTCCGCAGTTGGGCAAGTGCACTGGCCCTCTGGCAGACCCGCCTACAAACCTGCCAAACGTACGGGGTACGGAGTATGGAGTACGAATCCTGCTGGCAGACCGATCTTTGCGGGGATACTCGTAGTACCACAGATATGAGATGGATCTGCAAGGAGGAAGTAAATATCGTACTGTAACGTTTGACCGTACACGGCATATTAATGATTAGTAGCTGACCAACATCATTCTGCCTTGAAGTTTTGGGTTTGAGAAAAAAAAATTATGTGTACATTTTGGTTTCTACTTGGGTATTGCCAACACCGAGCAGAAATTCTATAGTAAAACAGCCTTGGGAACTTTTGTGACCAGCCCGCAGGCAGAGAACGCAACGGCCAACGCCCGACGTGCAGCAATACAATTGTCCAAGTCTATGATCGCTGGGAGCGCTTGTTACGCTTCCGAGAGCGGGAGTTCGAGGTAGCAGTGGTCTCGGCTTCCTCAACCAGCTCCTCAGCCTCATCAGAATCCACTTCCTCCTCAGCGGAAGATCCCAACACGCGACCAACAGTCTTGTTGAAGCACCAGATGGGAAGCCTGAACACCATTGTCTGACGGATAGAGGGGCGTTCAATCTGATCAATGTCGAGCAGGAACTCCTGGCGCTCGCCAGCCTCGTTCTGCTCTTCCAAGAACACATTGCCAATAGAATCGACAATCAGGGTCTTTCCATTCTCAGCAACGACACGCTTGCGCTCGCCAGTGCTAGCAACCTGCTCGGTAGGGGTAGAGGTACCAGAGGAAGCACGAGCGGTCACACGGGCACCACCTCCCTTCTTGTCCTTCTTGTTCTCCTTATCCATCATGCGCTTCTGGCGACGGTTAACAGCCACGGCACCAGTTTCACCGGATTCGGGAGCAGGGGGGAAGGCGCGGCGGCGACCGAGTCGATTCCAGGAACAGCCATTTCATCGCCCCAGGCGGCTCTGCGGGCCTGGCGAATGTAGCGATCCACAAACTCGCGCTGGCGCTTCCAGCTAAGGACCAGCGCGGCGTAGTGAGCACCACCACCGAAAACTAGGAACAGACCCACTAGCACGGAGCCCAGACCGGGACGGAAGCGCGAGTAGTAGTATCCGGTACCCTTCCACAGGGGGAAGCCATTCTTGAGGAAGTGGTCGTAACGCTGGCGGTTGGGGCCACGCAGGACGTTGGCGACGAGGTTCAGACGGGCAGAGCGGGCATCGGCGTTCTTGACTGCGGCGTCAATCTCGCGCTGAGTAGGTCCCTTGTTGACATTGACCCCCTTGTTGGACTTGGCCTTGCTCTTGTCCTTGGCGTAGTTGGCAATGAAGGCGCGCTTGACCTTGTCCGGGTGGATGGTTCTCGACTTCTTGCGGTAGGCCTTGGTGATTTGTTCCTGGTTGGCATTGGGACGGATCTCGAGGAGGTCTGCAGGTCGGGTATCGAAGTTAGATACGTATCCCTTGAAGATGAGAATGAAGATGAAAGGGAAAGAAAATGCAAGTCAATGGCAATGTTAGCAAGACATGACATACCGTAGAAAGTCACATTGGCACCTTCATTTGTGGCCACATCATTTTGGAGCCCAAAAATCTCATAGTCTGTTTCGAGGTCAGTATGGAAGTTTCTCTGGGGTAAACAGATACCCACCTTCTTTGGACCAAGCAGCGACGAGGCCGAAGAAGACGAAGAGCGATAAAATGGCAAATGACTTCATGGTGATAGCGGTCAATGCCGCAGAAGCCAGAAACGAGAGAAGTATAGAAATGAACGAATGAGCTGTGTGTTAGTGGAGGACATGTAGGCAAAAAAAGCGGTCGGGCGTTTATCCAAGAACCAAACGTGGCCCCAATCGACTTGGTGTTTTTACTGTTTTTTTGGCTGTTTCATCCTTTTTTCCTTTTTTTTTTCTTTTTTTTTGGCTTTTGAGGGGAAACTATAGTTGGGCTCTGCATGAATTATTGCATCTGAGCGTATTCCGTAGGTATATATATAAAGAAAGGGATCTAGATTTCTATAGTTGAATTACTTTCTGTTTCTTCAGCCTGAAGGACTCCTTGGGGAGCCCAGGAACTGGATGACCTAGGGACCCGTTCCTATTATTAGGGTCGATTTTGTTATTGTTTCTACCTAACTCCTCTGGACTACCCTATTTCATCTTATTTCATCTTATTTATTTTATTCATCTTATATTACTTGACTACGTGACTTGGTGAAACAACCGTGCTCTGACTAAAAAAAAGGTCGAAAGGGGAAAAGGCCCAAAAAAAAAGTGACTGCCTCTCCGACGTGTTGTTTCCGGCTCTCTGACTCTCTTTCCTCTCTATCCACTTTGTCCACTCTATCACTTTATTACCTGTCCCATTTTCAACCTTTATATTCTTCCCCCCCTCTCAACCTCTTTCTCATTCAAAATGGTTTCTATTCCAATTGATGCGATCACTTCGCGTTTTGGAGATCGCTTCAACAACCTCCGCAGCACTTCGTTGAGTACACGCTTCGCCAACCTGCGCCCGATTTCCGAGTTCCTCGATGTCAAGCGCCTTTCCAAGCCGGCCAACTTCGGTGAAGCCCAGAGCCGAGTCAATTACAACCTGTCCTACTTCTCTAGCAACTATGCCGTCGTCTTTGTGATGCTCAGCATCTACAGCTTGCTGACCAACTTGGTGCTGCTGTTCGACATGGTCTTTGTGAGCTGTGGTCTTTACGGAATCAACATGCTGCAAGGCCGGGATCTGGATCTGGGTTTCTCTCGCTTCACCACCTCGCAGCTCTACACCGGACTACTCATCGTCGGTGTCCCCATCGGCATCTGGGCTTCCCCCTCACGACTGCCCTGTGGTTGATTGGCGCTACTGGCGTGACCGTTTTCGGCCACGCTGCGTTTTTGGATAAGCCGATCGAGAATGCTTTTTCCGAGGAGGCGGTCTAGGTGGTCGGCCGCGAGCTCCTTTTGATATGCCCCCATGGGGAAGACCACCGGGGGCACGAACGGGGAGAAATACTAGGGGACGCGCGGCTTGGGAGGAGACACGACTGGAGGAGGTGGATAGTGAGGAGGATGTATACGGGCGGGAGCTGGTGCGGAGCGGTCGATACAGGCAGGAGTATGGAGGGCGAGGGCCGCGGAGGCGACCTGTGGACTATGAGGACTTGACGGATGAATCTGATTCGGTTGAGGGAGGAGAATACGATCTATACGACCATGAGGATAGCACGGTGGCCTATGCGATGCAGTTGGCTATGCGGGACAAGGAAGATCAATTGGTGGACACAGCGCTCGAGCGGATTCGCCGCGCTCAAGTTCTGGGAAGGAAAAACGTCCGGCTGTCGAAACGCGAACTGGAAGCCTTGGAGCGCAAGCGCCAGCAGACGGATAGTACAAGCAGAAGCCGGCGACCGTCCGCCACTTCTGTCAAGGGGACGTCGCGTCCATCGTCTCGACGGAGCGCAGTTGTTGCACCGGAGCAGCTGTCCGGCCCGTATCCGACCTTTGCGCCTGATGCACACAGCACTTGGGCTCGAGGGACGGCTAATAGCCGGCCGTCCAGCTCATCTTCTGCTCGTCCCCGGACCCCAACAACACAATCTCTTCGCCCCCAGCAGTCCAATTCACCTCTTCGACCTCCCTACCCACCATACACCCCCGAGCGCTTTGCCCCTAATGGCCGGCCACAATCAATGCAACAAGCGCCTGTCTTCCCGCGGCCACTGCCAGACGATCCTCAATGGGCCCCACCCTACTACAATACCATGCAGATGAGCCCATACGGAGAACCCGCGCCATACCAACCGCAGGCTCCCTCCGATCTCCGGGCTGGACAGCAGAATCGAATGAGTTATCCTTCAAGTCTTCCATACCCGGCTTATCAATCTCAATCTCCGGGCAAACGTTCACCACAAGGCACAGCACCGACTCCGGGTGCCCTAGCTCCAGCTCCCACTCTAGCTCCATCCAAGCTGGGGTCGGAGGAATCCAGTGAAGAATCGGAGAGCAGCGAGGATGAAGTGCAGATCGTCAAGGTGGCCAAGGTGGCTGAGCGCAAGGCCCCGCCAGCTGCAGTTGCGCAGAGACGGCCAGTTACTGGAACCACACGTAAACGGACCAGTCGATAAAGATGACGTGTCTCTCAACGTTGCCCTATCTAAAATTACTTTCGGTCTGGGGATTTTTTTTTTCTTTTCTGCTTTACTGTTTTTTTGATTCCATCATTGCGGTCTTTCCGTACCGCGAGGCGTTTTTAGGTAGACCGGTCTTGGACTACAAGCATATTATTACTTCCACTTTTGGACATTGATGTACATTGTAGATCTTTGTAAGGCTTGGAATATGTTGAAGTTTAATAGTATATATAAGTGGACCGATGCAACATGACTGAAAGCGTCTATCTGATTACATCTCTATGTATAGTTTGTACCCGTGGGCATGTACTCCATTGTGTAATCCGTCAGCCTCCAAACCTTCGACCTTTTGAGTTTTTTCGCCAAGTCTTCAGCCACCCGGCGTATCCGCAGATCAGAGGGTAACCTTGGAACAGGCATTCATGTTATGGCTCTGGGGATTGCCAATATTAATAGTCTGTACCAGAGGTACACTAATTTAACTCCAAGTATCCATTCGAGTAAATATTGAGGCTGATCAATTGGACTAGACTGTGGGGGCGCACAATTTTTCTGCCTTTCTCCTGCCTTGGTAATCCTGGAAATGACGTCGTTGTTCTAATCTCCATAGGGGCGTCTAAATTATTCTAATATGGCTCAAATCCTTTCTTTTTCACTCTGCTTCTCCTTTCAAGGTGTCTAATAACCCATTGGGTATACCCAAAAAAAAAAAAAAAAAAACACGCAATACACAATACACATCTATTGATCCCCTTGCGCATCATTGTTGTCCCGGTTCCAATTTGACATCCCTTTGCCATCTAAGCGCCACTGTCGCCCCCTTTAAGATTTATCATTTGGACCCTGGAATGCTGTATTCCTGTGATACATTGTAAATAAATACAGGGACATAGGTGAGTGGCACGATTGGGGATTCATACCTCGGATCCACATCTTCTTTCTATGCTATACGTGATATTGAAGAAGCTGCGACTGACAAGATCATATAGGCTCACGTGCGCATTGCTGTGCTTTCAATCCTCCACTGTCTTTTGAATTGGGTCTTTAGCGGCGATACAAAACCCTCGCATACCTCCATTGCATCGGAATTGGCCTCGAAATACAACTCAAACAACTCGCAAAGATGTGGATTATATCGTTTTGGATGTTTCCATTGGTGTCAGCCTGCATGTGGGTTGGTAAGGCACCCCTGCACTGAAATGGATATCTTGTTTTGGGCTGCAGCTAACAGGATCTCAGCAATGTTGATTGCCATGTTGGTTACATGGGTTAAAGATGGGAGACCGCACTATGCCAGTATGGATGACGGACAGACCATTGCGTATGTTTTCTTCCCCACGCCATTAGCCCCCCCTCCATGCACTGACAGGATTGTTATAGTTACATTTCAGATGTCGGAGCGCAAGGGTTAAAGCCGCTGTTCGTTGCGGGCAGCGCTGTCACCGTCGTCTTTCTCGATTTAGCTTTCCTCTCCGAGCGCTGGCTTCGACACTCCAACCAGTTGGCCTCGAACAAAGGTAGATTGGACAAGGCATGCGCTATTCTTTCAATCTTCTTTGCAATTGCCGGTGCTGCGGGTCTGATTCTGCTCTCCGTCTTTGATACACTTCGCCACCCGAAATTGCACGATGGGTTCATCGGCCTGTTCATGTGAGTCCTGCCCACTCTTGGGATTATGCACCTAACGACCAACTAACCAATCATTTTCCTCTCCAGTGCTGGATACGTCGTTAGTGCCATCTTGGTTTGTATCGAGTACCTCCGCATCGGAATCTTCTACCGCCGCGAGCACCGCGTTTTGCTCGTTAGTTTCTTCATCAAGCTTGTCTTCGTCATCGTCGAGCTCGCACTCGCTATTGGCTTCGGTGTCTGCATCGGTAGCAACCAGTCCTCTAAGCAAAACCCTGGCGCGGTTCTCGAGTGGACCATTGCTTTCGTCTTCACCGGTTACGTTCTTTCCTTCGTCGTCGATCTATTGCCTTCCGTGCGCACCAAAAACCACGTGCCGCAGGGTGAGAAGTACCTGATGAATCAGGGTGGATTCAATGGAACCCGTGAAGAGGGGGTCTCCATTGAAGAGCCGCTGACCCATGACTCGATGGGCCCGACCACCGGCTTTTACCGTGGCCAGCGGGTCTAACTAATTTCCTGATGTGATTTTTTTTTTCATGTTCCTGTATTTACTTATGACGTGCACGATGTCATCTGATACTCTGCTTTTGCTAATGTTTTTTTGATACCTGTCATGGATACTCTGATATATGGTGTTTTCTGGGAAGTTGGGCATACACCGTTATACCGTTAAAGCCAATATATTGGCCTTGGAATATTTAGTTCTTACATATATAGATAGCAATTCAATAACTTAACGTTTATTTCCATTGGATCTTTCTCATGGCACTGCTTTTCACGATCTGTTACCCAAAACGAAGACACGCAATCCTTCACCATTTATTATCTCACATCCAAATGCCCATGTAATAACAAACGCTCGACCCATCCCAATGCCAAGGTCATGATCATATCTACAAATCCCATATCAAATACAAAAAGCCAACCCTAAAACCATATATCCAAATCCCAATCCCAAAAACCCCAAAGCCCAAAAGCCCAAAAGCCCAAAAGCCCAAAAAGGAGAATCAAACCAAAAACTTCGCCCTAACCCTCTCCTGCATCTCAAACCCAACCCCAGCCCTCTCCAAATACCCTCTCACACCCCCATACCTCGTCTCAAGGTATTTAGTAGTATCACTCACGAAACCCGGCGGACACCGCGTATAATCCTCCCCAAGCCCAATCGCCCGAATCTCCTCCATCCTCTCCTCAAACTCCGACACAAGCTCCAGCTCCGAGCGACTGTAATCATCAACAATCGCCTCAACCGGCACACCCCCAACAAGCAGCAACATAAGCAACACAACCAGACCGGTCCGGTCTTTTCCTTGCGTGCAATGCACTAATGTCGGATATGATTCCTCGCACGCCAGGATCTCGAACACGGAGCGGATCTCGCCCATGCTTGAATCGAGCGTGTCTTGTGCTAGTCCTGTTAGTCCGCGCGGTTGCATCACGGACCCGCATACTAGACGCACTGCGTCGCTGCGGTAGCCTGTTGTTACGAGGCCGATTGCTTTGCTGGAGGGTTATTAGTACTAGTTTGTTTTCAAGTATATGGGAATGTAATGTGCTATGTATTACATATGTGTGGATGGTAGGGGAGGAGAAGGGAGGGGAGACGTTACAGATATGTAATCCAGTCCAGTTTTGATAATAAGGCGCGTTCGAAGCCTTTGCCTGTTAGGCTTATTAGGGCTCGTTTCGAGCCGGGGATTTGGAGGAGGTGTTCGTCGGGGTTTGTTGGGATTGGGTCTGTTGGTAATGGTGATTTTTCTGAATCTGATTTGGCATTTTCGCTTCGACGTTTGCGTGTGCCCATTTGGTGTTCTGTTCTGTGTTTGGTATTAGATTTTTGAGGCCTTTTTTTGGGGGGTGTTTTGGTTGTATCGACATACTGGGAACGGAGATCAATGACGGTGTGGATTTGTAGTTCTTCTGTTAAACGGCGTATATCTCGTTCTGAAGCATCATCGAGCTAGAAATTTCGAATTTCGAATTAGTTTTTTGTTGGTGCTTTTTTGGTTGCTTATTCTGACAACGCATCAATGCATCGGAGTCATTTGAGCGGGGTTGAAATTACCCTCGCACTGCGGAAGAATACGCCTTCTTTCAAGATTCTAGGTGAAATTGTTAGTTTTTTGTACTCAGAGAGAGAGATGAATATTATCTCGGGGTCAAAGACGCGTCTTAACTCACTCTTTGCGACAAAATTGGTTAACCGACCGGCCGACATCGCGGAAATTGATGATGTTGTCGAAAGGCCGATCGGGTGAGTCTAGGTCCACGCTGTTATGACGCGACATGATTATGAATTAGGGAATATAAGTGAATATAAACAGAAGAATAGAATGGTTAGAAATGAGAAGGATGGAACGTGTTTAAACATGTGGAGAAGTACAAATGGCGGTGGACGTGGACGTTGGGCAGACATCGCGTTTTGACCGATAGTCGCCTGGACAATGAATTATTTTTTTGGTTTTTTAGTTACATTTTATTTAATTGTAATTGGATATGGGGATCTATTCGATGACTTTGTGTGGTGTTTTGGTGCTTTGAAAGAGTTGGCTATATATAGCCGAGACGGGTGTTTCTGTTCTAAGGTCCTTTTGCATACATTTTCTAAAGAAATTGATGGGGGTCTGGCTTAGAGTCTGGATTTTTTTTGAACTTCCTAGTACTTCATGTACTTCATGTACTTTTAGTCTGATGTAACTAACAAACAAAAACAAGGAAGTAGGGGGATCCATATAAATCGATGATGAAACAGGTACCAGAGCAAGACAAAGAACTACTTAGATCTAGACCCCGGGAGTAATTTCAACCCAACACACCTCAAGTTCAATGTGTCACACCATATTAGCCAACACATTGATCGACTAAACATATTGGCCCCGGTTGTCCTTGTATTGTGGCTGCAGGTAGGACCAATCGTGATTGAAATCAAATCCAGTGCGATAAGCCCCATATGCAACCAGATCCACCTGACTCAGTCTCGCCCCCTGCTCTGTCAGCGCCCACAGACTAATCGCCAACGTATTCTCCCCCGGTTGTTGATCACCCCGGGCGGGAAAGGGAACCTAGTCTGAGGACCGATGTGCGGCAGGTAATGACCGAACTGGTACCCATTCATGAAGATCTGGACAACTGCGGGGAAATCAGATGCACCGACCTGCAGACCAATCGGAACGTCCAGGTCGGAGTCCAGGTTGAGCTTGAAGGTCGTCGTATAGAATCGGCCTGCTGCGCCAGATACACCGTCAAGAGGACTGTCCGATGTTGCCGTCTTGGACGCTTTGTATCCGGGGAGATGCCAACCAAGACGTTCTCCGTACAGACCTCCTTCGTTCATGGGTCCCCGGACGGGGTCGATGTTGGCTTCACCCCCTGCGTTGCCTTGGATGCGCCAGGACGTGAAGTTCCCGCCGAGAAGAGTAGCGCCTAGTATACCGCGCGGGTTTTGCGCCCCGTTCGGTGACACGTTTGCCTGGTCGTGGCCTGTGTAATCCATGACTACAGTCAGAACATTTTCGGTCTTGCGGAGGGTGGAGCTGTTGAATAGTAGCTCTGCTGATGTCGCGGCTAGGGCGGGATCACCAATGGCTCCGCCAACGTAGACTCCGTTTAGCCAGGCGGCCCAGCCAGCAGCGACGCCGTTCTGGACAGTGAGATTTGCGCCTGTCGCGGTCACACCGTCGAACCGTCCCCGATAGATTTTCGTCCCGGCGTGGTAGCCGTAGTCGCCAGAGTAAAGCACGGGAAGTGTTAGTGGTGCTACGGAGTTGACTGAGATCGTTTTGTTGCAGATCGTCCAGCGAGAATCATCATAGCCTGGCTTAATCTCTGGAAGTGTGTCTTGTGCTTTCCATGATTTCAGAGTTGGCAACGAGACCTTGGCATTCTGGGCTCCGGCAGCAGATCCGACTAAGCTGCCGTAGGCTGTTTTCTTCGTTGAGATCTCCTTGCCATTCCACTTGATCTTAGTGACCTTTGAATTGCCCGTGTAGACCCTAGAATCACATATTAGCACAACTTTGATCGAGAGCTAGCATCGTATCGCACTTACTCGAGAGATGTCCTGTTTGCGTTATCACCAACAAGACTAACGGTGTTCCCACTCACACTTGCAGTGCGAACGAGATATGGCCCAAGAGCAATGATTTGCTCACTAGGAGCCACACGTGGATTGGAAGTAGTCGGTACTGCGAAGAAATTCCAAGCTGTCTCTTTATCAAGAAGGTAGACTAGTACGCCGTGCGAGAATTTCAGTACCGTCGTGCCATCTCCTTGGGTATATTTGTATTTGGTGCCATGATCCGATGCGGCGGAGCTCACTTTCGAATTGCCGTATGTTTGGAAAGTTACATGGGTCGGTGCATCTTTGAAGACAAACTCTCCTTCTTGTCCAATATTCAAATAAAAGACGATCACATCTACATCGAGGGTGGCATAGGTCAAAATCTCAGCGGACGAATAAAGCAAGCTGGAGCCATCGCCGATTTGGTAGTCGGTGACTATAATTTTGCTCTGGCGGCCGGCCAACTCGATATTGGGAATTGTGAGGGCCCCTGTTGTGTAGACTTCAAGTTAGCGCAATTCTTCCTCCTAACCACTAGAGTACATACCAGTCGAGGTGTTGACATTGAGCGAAGTAGTAGTCACAGCACGAGACGAACTCGTAGAGTGCGCCAAAACATAGAAACCGGCTTGGGTTTCTGGGTTTCGCAAGGCCCAGGTATAGATGCTAGCATCACTAGTGTACCCTGTGCCATTCCCTTCCATTTGTGTTTGTAGGAGACCGGACGACACACGAGTAAACAACCCAATCAACTTGGTCTGCTTAAGCTTGTCCCGAATCTCACGAGTTTCTCGCATGGGTGCAGAGTAGTCGTATGAAGTGTAGACAACCGGAGCAGCACTGCTTCCCCAAGAAGTTGCCCCCATAACCATATAGATATTCTGCAATGTGACTCTGGAGCCGATGTTATTCTTATAATAGACATCGGCGAATTCAGGCGAAAGCTCAGTAGAACATTGATCATAGAAAGTCCCTCCCCAAGCGGAGAACCAACCGCCCTCAAACTCTGGCAGGTACTCAGGTTGGGAACTTGAGTAATTCTGGAACCATTGGTAATAAGTGCGGACGAGATTGAACCCAGTGTTTGGATTGGTGCAGGACAGACCCCCAGGATAGGAGTCCAACCCATAGATGTTGACGGCGCCGCCCACATCCTGATAATCCGTTGACCAGCTCATAGAGCGCATCCCCTTTTCGTTATGTGTACTCGGAACGACGATGCCAGCTTCATTGAAGGCGGCTTTGACTTGTTCCATGTACTTAACAACAGTATTATCAGCACTATGAGTTGTCTCCTGCAACTCATTCTCGTGCTGATTGAGAATGACTGGACCACCATTGGTGATTTGGTTTGCGGCAATAATGTTTCCGATCTTCTGGATCCACGGATACCATCGGTCATGGTAGGAGCTTGCGCTCGTGCGCGTGCTACCCATTTGACCATTTGATGCCCACAATGCGAAACCACCAGCAGAGGTCTCAGCATTACAGTAGGGTCCCGGGCGCGCGATCACATACAGTCCTGCCTGCTTGGCATAATCAAAAACGCGCTGAACGTCATGGGCGCCGTTCTCGAAGTCGAAAGTATCCTCAGAAGCGGAGTGGAAACTCCAGAAGAAGTAGACTAATCGAGATGAATACCAAGGCCAAAAGGTTTCCTGTCAAGTCACTCACTAGAAACTGCATTAAACCCGTTTGCGCGTAGCTTTTGAAACACGTCGAGCCATAGCTCCGGCACGGGAAGTCGCTGGTAGTGGAATTCACCGGAAAAGACATATACCCTTTCTCCTTTCACGGAGAGGCTGTATTTATCCCATGTCACGTCGGTAGTCTTGCCATTATCTGTCGCAGAGACGAAATGACTGGATATGAGTCCAAGGAGGACGGGGAGAAGGGCGAGGAAACGCATTGCTGGGTGTTATACAGGCACCCATTTTAGAAAATGACTTATTATAACGGGGGTGTTGTTCGGTCCTCGCTATAGAGATACCCCGTACTGTGCTGGGATTGGTGGATGTTTTGGAGATCAGATGTCAGATTAGGCAATTTCCCAGGGGTTCAAGGGTTTCAAGGGCCGTGAAGATGCGGGGGGAATGGCTTTGACCGCGGACACAGGTGTTTTTACATTTGAATTAGAGTGTATTTTGGGATATTTGAACAAGAATATGATACTATGTATTATGTACTATATACTGGCCAATTTGTTATCGGTCCTTGTAAGCCTCAACCTCGGAACTATCTCTCATAGCACTCTTGCACTCTTGCATTTTGAAAATCACCAATCGATCCCCCCCGCTTTTTTTTTTCTTAGTTAAATGATGGCGCTGTTAACAATTATGGGATTCTCCTCGTCGGAATTACTGATTTTTCAATCCGCTCCATGATGAGCAACCGTACGACTTCCCATGCTGATGCCAGTAAGGCCAGGCGAAGGGCTGTGTTGCCGTCGGCCTCTTTTACATCCAAATTTCCTTCATTCTTCAATAGTAATTCCATTCTTCCGACGATGCCATTCCGATCCGAAACATCAAAGTGGTAGAAGCAAAGAAAGTGGCCGCCAAAAAGACTGTCAGGTCTAAAGACAATACTGATGGGATGAACAAGCCCAATGTATCCCAGACCCGTTCCAATACCCGTGCCAGTATTTCTGATCTGCGATTAAATCTCGTTTCTTGTTTCTGTTAAAAGAAAATTGATTTCGGTGACGCCGGTGACACAAAAGATCCATAGGGCTCTCTCCATTTTGATTTCGGCTGTCTAGATCTGCTCCATGTTGAAGAAGTAGCTGGACGATTTCCCATTCTGATGATTGTGCTGCCAGGTGGAGAGGTGTGTTATAATCGGCGTTCTTCGCAGTGAGATCTGCTCCATGATTCAATAGCACTTGGATTGCCCCAACCATAGCTTTTGATGCTCCGTATGTCATGGCATGTAGCGGTGTTTGACCATATGAATCGACCATATTCACCTCCGCCCCATGGGCCAGGATAAGCTTCGCAAGATGCTTGTTGTCGGTTTTGTAAAAGGGGGTCTGTTCTTCACCATCTGCAGTGCCCCCATCTCCAAAGCCCAACAGAAGCTTGGCCGATTTGTGAATGAAAGAAACACAGGTTTCGTAAGCGGGCTTTCCGGGTTTGGGATCAGATATTGGACATCCAAACAGGTGGAGTCCATTGAACTCATCTTCATCCGAGTCGCATTCCCTCGTTGGGCCAAAGGGGATTCGGTATTTTGTAGCCGCATCAAGATCCAACAGCTGCTCCACAATATCTGGGACACTACCTAAGCATGTGCACACGCGAGCCGCATATAATCTTAAAAACACCAAAGTCAAAGGTTCTCCAGGGCTTGTTTCCTCTTCGCAAAGTTTCTTGATTGTCCCCCTCTTTTTTCTTCTTGTTGGACAGTCTCCATAGACTGGTTATAGTGGAGATGAGTATAGCAAGAGTGTGTATTGATTCGGTCTGTTGTTGATGGAGTGACGTGCTATATTATTATTATATATACATTACAGAAATTGACCAGACAACAATGAAATTTTGACCAACTAAATTGACAAAAACCCGCTGTTTTAACAATTATCGAACTAGGAATATGGCCCCCCTCAGGCCTTAAAAAAACCTTAGTTGTTTGATATGGTCTAGTAGGAAAGATAGCCGTATTTCTTCTGGCACTTGGCAGTTTGGCGGAGTGGTCTAACGCGCTAGACTTGAACGAACACATTCGTGTTAACACATTCATGTTATCTAGTCCTTTCGAGGGCGCAGGTTCGAACCCTGCAACTGTCGATTTCCTTTTTCTTTTTTTTTCTTGTTATATTGTGTCGTTCTAGTTATTATTTACCTCTTCCCCATCAACCTTAAAACTTTACAAAACGGGTTGCGGAATTTAAGCGTGTTCATGAAATGGTGGTTCACCTATCACATCCCGATCGCCATCTTATGATAGGCACAGTATATATACGTGTCGAAGATATAGATATTCTCTATATCTAGATCCGTCCGTGTTAATATTGAGAACCCAGCGTTGACACGCCATTGAAAAGGATGGCAGACCTTACTAGTGATGCCCTAATGCCTCGTTAATCCCTTATCTAGTGAAGAGGTGAACACTCAAGGCTGAAAGGCATACAGGTCGGTTCACCACTCGCATTCAGCTTCATACCCAGATTTGCATACAAAAGAACGTAGATGTACTGCCCACCAAGTGAATCCAGAGAGGTGTAGAGGTTTGCATTGTCAATCTGTATCTATCTGCTACTCGTCTCCTCCCTACTTCAACGATATAACCAAAACTGTACAACCTCCTTGGAATAAAGGACGGACTTCGCGGAGGACGAGGTTCCCCACTACATTAGATAGCTAGACAAATTTATAGTAATCCTGGCCTCGAAAATTTCAAGTACTAAAGCTCCGCAAGCTTCCCCTTTCTAGACTATCAAGGATACATCCAAAGACACCCAATTGGCCTCTAGGTTTTGTACTGAAGGCTATTTATTTATTCAGGCTGAAGTTTTCCACTGCCAGCATCAAATCCCCAACAGGGCCCATGCCGGCTTGATCGAAGGTAGCAAATGCACCGCGAGAGGAGCTGTCAGACAATCCCTCGATAAGTTCCGACCATTCCGTCGGGGAGACATACGATAATTCGAGATAGATACGTGCTAAGACAGCGAACTCATCAGCGTAATGCATAAATCCGTATTGCTCATCGGCTGTACGACTTGTATCCATAGATGCTCCGGCATTCAATGGTTGCTGCTGGTTTGATTTCCAAGCGACCCCCCACCGGTCAAGTGCCTTGCCTAACGGGTTATCGGAAAGTGGAAGGGTGTAGAGCGAGGATTTTTGATGAAATATAAGACCATGAATCGCTACACTCTGAGAGTTAATTGAACGGAATGCGAATAGTATCGAGCGAAAGCTCACCTGCAGCGATTGTAAAAAGGTTCAGCTCGCTAGCACCATCCAAAAAGTTTGTGCTTTGGTTCGGGCTATCATTGCATAACCTGCGAACGGTATCAACAAGAGATAGATGCTTCTCTGATAGTCCTGGGTTTGACTGGACAGCAGATAAAAAGTCGGCTAGGCAAGATGCTTGAAACCATGGCTCTGGGGATGTTAAATCAATCTGCATCTCCTGGAGAACCATTCGTGGGAATGAATTGTGGAAAATCACAAAGGCGGAGTCGAGAAGAAAGACATAGTTGCACACTCTGTTTTGGGATTAGTATACGATTGGCAAGATTAGTTCCATTAAACACACCTGTTGACCTCTTCTCTTTCAATCCATGCTCGCCATTCCGACTCGTCAAATTCTGAGGTAATGGGCCGATAGCTATGTCTAGCCTTTGAAAGCCCCATTTCCCGCGTTGCCTGTAAATAATTAGGCACTAACGTTGAGGAATAGCAGGTAATTCGATAGAGAGTAAGTACGCACTGACACAAATTTTGTAAATTGATCACGTTGGATGCGGATCTTTGATCCATTGGTCCCTTCCCACTTTTGCATGATACAAATCAAATATGTTGCTTGCAACGTGCTGATTTGGCTGAAATGGGGTTGGTCTATACCTTCAGCCCGAGTTGCTGTGGTCGAGAACATAGGCTGTGAGAACACAATCCTTTCTGCAATATCAAGGAGTGACCTTGCAATGTGACGATCAGCCTTATATGGGGATGTACAACCTCCCATGAGTACCATGTTTGTGAGAAGGAGAGGCGAGCAGGACTCGATTTTGAATGTTGGCCTGTGGAAGATTAAACAGTGGGGATACCAACGATCCCAAAATATATCAACAAAATGGAGAATATTCTCTGGCGCGAAAAATGATATGACATCAGCCATAGTTACACTCCCTTCTGTTTGTTCATTGCATAAAGGGAGAAGCATCTCCCAAATGCGACTGGACTGAAGCCTCAGAGCATCATCTACGAGGCCCCCTTTTGCAGGACTGTTAAATATGGTAAGTGGTACCCTGTCTTTATCTGACCATGGATAGTCGCCACCCAGAAGGTATGGATCTAAGTTTGTTTGAGTGGTGCTGTCTTGAGAGGCACTGTGATCGTATAGTTCATCTGCCATGAACAAGCGATTGCAATTATACGCTTCATTGACTCCAGCTGCTCGAGTAAACTTTAAAAGAAAGTCAAACCGGCATCGATCGGCGATGCTAATCTTATTTCTCAACTGTTGGTCTTGGATAGTTGGTTTTTGCTGCGCTTTGGAAGTGCCAGCGATATCGTCCCCACCATTGTGACCGTGAGAATCTCCTGCGCCCATAGATGGTTGAGAATATCTTTGCTTCTTGATGATATATGTGCATTCAGAATCTTGAAGAATACACTCGGCACAAGGGTTGCCTTGGTTACAGGCGCGTTTGCGCTCTGTGCAACGATCACACGCATGCTTTCTCTTCCCAGATCGAGTGCGCTGGGGAACTTGGTTGCCAGATGCTGCACGAGCTGTGCATGTCTTCCAGTGACGACGAAGGGTATCACTGTAAAAATTGATATCGTCAAATGGCCGAGCTATCAAGTGAAAGTTTGCCTGACTTTACCTGCGTGAAAATTCAGAACCACAGAACTCGCAGGGATGTGGTTTCTTCTCATTATCTACCAAATAAGAGTTTAGTAGTTGGCAAAAAGAAAATGGACATCAACAGAGTAATGGATCGTACGGGTTGATCTATGTCTTTTGAGGTGCTGGATCTTTCCGAAGGTTTGGGAGCAAACGGAACATTGAAAAGGCAGAGAGTTCAGTTCGTTATTTGAAGAAGTTTGTGCTTCCATTTTGAGGTAATTTCAATGACTTCTTGTGTACAAATTCAGTACATGTATATATATCTCCCATGCTTCGGGGTGGTGCAAGTGGAGAAAGAGGAAAGAGGCTTGGGGTATTGGTGATGATATGCATGTCACATGTCCGGGTATTATTACCATCCCAAACATACAGATGTGTCTGCAAGCCTTTGGCTGTGCATAAATATGGGATATGCATACATAACTGTGTATTATTACAATAACATACTATGGGCAGAACTCACGCCAAGTGCGTAGTATAACCCCAGTTATCTTTGGTGTTTTCATCTCATATTTTTATCCTAGTTCCTCGGCTAATGTCTATATCTACGTTGTCCAATCCTGTAAATGAGCCATGCCTCAGCCTTTCACTGAAACTTTACATTGAAAGGATCCCTCCATCTCCCCAATCCCCGAACTACGAACCCGGACGTGGTCATCCTGAGATATTGGGTGAAAGTCGAACTGACTGGTCAATGTAGTGATGGTCTTCAATATATTGGTCATGGCGAGATTTCGACCGATGCACATGCGGTGTCCAATACTGAATGGGATGAGGAACCGACTCCGGTCCGGCTCATCCTTTCCCAGCCATCTATCCGGTTGGAATACCGCGTGGTCTTCACCCCAGATCTCTGGATTGTGGTGGAGGACATAATTTGAGATACAGACATTGGTCTATCTCTCATATTCAAGGGTCAGTATTGTGAACTAAAGGCCATGATCTGGATAGTTAGAAGAGTTGGCCAAAACTTACACCGCACGCTACATCAAACTCTCCAATTTTCGCTCCGCCTGGTGACCCAACACATCGCCACAGAGGCATGGTAAATACCGGATTCAGGCGAAAATTCTCCCTCACGCATGCCATGGTGTATGGCAAAGAAGCCTCTAGTCCCTTGATGGGATAGGAAATGTCGCCATCCTGTAGTGGCTGAAGGGTACTAGCTACCTCGGTGGCGACGGTAGCATACATTTCCGGGTTATGGATTAGGTGCCAAAAGAGGAGTGTCAATGTACCAGAGGTCGAATGAGAGCCCGCTACCCTGGTACAAGTAAGTACACAATCGAAATTTCCGAAGTGCTAGGGAAATACTCACAGCATAGCGAATGCCTCTGAATTGATTTCTTGCTCGTTGAGGCTTGTGCCGGTTTCAACGTCTTTAGCGGTCACAAGGCTTTGAAGTAGATCTCGACGGTCGGATGCATTGCTGATCTTGTTGCTGACACACTCGGAGCAAGTTGCTTTGAGGTTATTTCTACTCTGCCCTAGTTTTCGCATCCATGGAGCGGGCGACCATCGTGCTAGGAACTTTGACAGTGTCTGGAAGGGAAGTTCACCAATTACGCAAGATAGGAGGAGGTGGTCATTTATTGCGTGTATTTCATCTGCTTCTCCTCTGGCTTGGGCATTGAAAGGTCGACTGAAGGCGACCTCGCCTAGGATATCAAAAACGAAGTACGAGATGGTAGACTTCAGGTCGAAGACCTCCCCAGTCTTTGCGAACTTTTTGAGCTTGCTGAGCAAAATTTTGATGTGGACATTGATCAGAGGTTCAAAGTTTTCGACCGATGCCTGTGAAAATCCGTGGGCTAGTTGTCGTCGACGAAGGGAATGGATCTGTTATTGGTCAACTGAGTGTCTGATAAGTAGAGAGGTGACTTTTTACTTCTTCATCTCTGCCCCCAAAGAGATTAGGGTTAAAAGCAGTAAAAGCATCATAAAACTCTGTCTTTCCCATATTCCTCCCTCCCTTGTAGATTGGGGTAATAGCTTCACCATCCCAGAAATGTAGATGGTTAGGACCGATTCGGACGACGGGGCCATACTGCTGGTGTAGCTCAACTAGTTTCTCGTGGAGAACTAGCTTGTAGACGTAATACGCCCTCCAGAGGCTCGTTAAAGCAGCTATTTTTGGACCCGGATATTGTGAAAGGGGATGGAAATATATAGTTAACGATATATATCCCGTGAGCACGAGACTGATTACCAGGCCGGTTGTTTGGACAGGGCCAAGCACCGAGAATGCTGCCAGCGAAACTTCGAGCATCTTTGAAAATTATTGATGGCTACGAATAGATTAATCTAAGAACCCATCAGCTGGGAGTAGCCTATATATGTCAATTAATAACTGCCGTGAGTCCATGACTGCATGCCGGTCGAGGTTCTCCACACTTTTGAAGCCGCGGAATTTGCCACAGCCCATGACATATATTGTACGTTTTTATACAAACTATTTGAGACACGCATGATCCACACAGGATAATATATACCACTATAATGCGTCAATTTAGTTTAGCTGATTGGATATATAAACTCTTCCATCTTTTTCTTCCAACTACCGAAGTCCACACATACATAGTGTGGGGAAATCCCGCGGGGTACTGTCTGCCCATGAACAGTTAATAAAAATACCATCGCCCATTCCAATAAAACATAAACCCCTATACACAATCATGTCAGTTACACATGTCTTCAAAGTCGTAGACGGCCTCTCACTAGAGATCGACGTCGTCTCCCCTCCAACCAAAGAAGAAAACAGCCCTGTTCTGCTCCATTTCCACGGAGGCTTCCTAGTAAGTCACAACACAAAACACTGCCATCTAAACCAAAAGACCTAACCTAACCCTCGCTTCACAGGTACTAGGCGAGAAAACCACCTTCCCACCCCACTGGCTAAGAAACGCCTGCCAAAAGCGAGGCTGGACATACGCAACAGCGTCCTACCGCCTCCTCCCAGAAACCCCAGGCCACGAAATCCTACAAGACGCAACAGACGCCGTAAATTGGGTCTATGCGAACATTAGTAAACGAGTGATAATCGCCGGGTCCAGCGCAGGCGGGTATCTTGCGCTCGCTGCTGCTGCGCACCCTGCAACACCGAGGCCGCTCGCTGTGCTCTCCATTTATGGGATGCTGGATCCAGCGAGTGAACGGTATATCCGCCCGGGTCAGCCGCTTCGTGGTCCTGTTGACGATGAAGTGAAAGCTTTGGACGAGATTGAGGCTGCGATGCGGAGTGATGCTATTGGTGGGTATCCGTTCCCAGTGAGCCCGCCTGTTGATCGTCGGTTCGGGTGGATTAGAGCTTTGCATCAGGCGGCGTGGTATGCGGATGTGCTTGCACGGAAGCCCGGGTTGGCGGGGAGGATTGCTGATGAGGGAGTTGAGGCCGTTGAGGTGGAGGATCGGGTGCTTTTCCCTGCGAGCTTTGGGTTAAAGGAGGGGTTTCCGCCTACGGTTCTTTTGCATGGGGATGCGGATGATTTGGTTGAGTTTGAGCAGAGTGTTGCTGTCTCTGGGGCTTTAGAAGCGTTTGGGGTGGATGTGTCGCTGGAGTGTGCGAAGGGACAGGGGCATGGGTTTGAGGCAAAGGAGGTTATTGATTTGGATGGGGACGAGAGATTGGGAGACAACACTATGATTGATACGCTTAAGTGCGTTATTGCTCATCTTGAAAGACATGTGCAATTATGTTGTTAGGGTTTCATAAAGATATCATTAAATTAGATCGATTATATACGAAGCACCGAAAATTACTAGCAAAGTAAATCATCCTGAACCCAATACCCTCTCCCCCGGACCACCCATTTCAAGTTCCGAAAGCGCCAGTAAATCACCTGTAATATCCAAAAATAAAAGAAAATCGTACATCAAGTCAAACGTTTGAAATAGACATACACATCAACATTCAACGTAAGAATCACAGATTCTCGGAGAATCTTGATTCCCTTTTTCCGCTCAACGTCTCACTAATACTAGGTGGCACAGGAAGACTCTGCCCAATAGTACTATCCTGCAGACTCTGGAGATCACCGCCGCCAATAGCCCTGGACGAAGATTGAATCCCCGAGTCACGACGGGAGTCACCATCATTCGACTCAGCCGGGCTACCGGAGACAGCCTTGAAGAATGTCCTGCTCAAACGGTTCCTCTTTTTGCCATTGCCATTTTGCCTGGTAGAGTTTGGCAAAGAGTCGGCACTGTTAACCTTGGCCACATCCAAGTCGTTGCTGTAGTAGCTCGAAGATCTGTTGTGGATGGGGATAGGTTCGACCACGAGAGGGTGTGAACCAAGCGCTGCGGCACGGGTCTCGTCGCGGCCGGTTAGAGAGACGCCGCCTTGAAAGGAGGGTTCGTTGTCTGAGTTGAAGTCCGGGCCTGGCTGGTGAGGGTAAACTGGGACTGGGCCACTGGAGCGACGAACGAGACGGTCACGGAACCAGTTCTTTAGCTTGGTGTCGGCGCGCGGACTTGTGACTGGTGGCGTGAAGTAGTGCACAATTGTTGGGCCGGAAGTGGCTGCGTCTTGCTCGATCTGGGGAGGCTCAGTCTGGCTTCGGGTTGGTCGCCGTGGGATCGCCGCTGGCACGTCGTTTTCCTCAGGCTTTACAGGCTCAGTCTCTGGGGCCGAGGAGGCCACTGCAACAGCTGTTGTAGGACCGGCTGTCTCTGTCACAATAGAAGCTTCATCTGGGATGCTGACAGTCGAAACATTGTTCTCTGTTCCAATAGAAGCTTGGTCGGGGATGGTATCCGTCGAGGCATGGTTGTACACGGCTGTAGTCGGAGCCGGCTCTACTACAGCTCCTTGGCTAACAGGCGAGACGGCTTGAGCTTCTTCAGTCTCTGATTCCTCAACCCGAGCTCGTTTACCCTTTTTCCTCCACAAGAAGAATTTGGGAACCTTGCCCTCGGATTTCCTGTCGCGTTTGCTGGCACCTAATTCATTAATTAGAGGATATCCCCAAAGAGGGGAAGACAGGGCAACTAACCTTTTTCTTGCTTCTCCAACTCTTTCACCTCAGCTTCGCGTTCACGCTCCACAGCAGCATGTCTCTGCTCCTCCTCAGCGTCCAGACGTGCTTCGATATCGTGAGCTCTCCGTAGCTCGGCGTTCTCAGTAATGTCATCGAGAGCAGGCTGGAGGCGGGAGCGAGCGATAGCATCGATGTCGGCCATGTCCATATACTTTTGGCCGCCGATGTTCACTCGATTCCCTTGGGTGGTAGCGGCTTCAAGGTCCTCTGCCTCCCGTCGCACGCGTTCTTGTGCAACTTCATCCCACCCCTTCTGCACGGAAGGTGGAGCGCGACCGGTGTCGGCGTAAACTTGCGCCTCCATGTCCTGCAGGGTTTGGTCCACATTGCGGCGGGCAGCCTGCATAAGCAGTTCACGATCCCTCGTCTTTTGCACATCTACTTGGTCCAACTTGGTCCGCAGGCTGGTCATCTGGCTCCGGATCTGTCGGGATTGCTCTGCGTCGGTCTGAGAGGTATCCGCATCGCTAGAGGTTCTCTTGCGGCGGGTAGTCAAGCGCGACCGTTGTGGTTGAGGTGCGGTGCCGTAGTATTGCTGGTATTCTGCATGCTCATCGTGCATAAGCGCCAACTTCTCGGCAGCTCGCTTCTGCGCTGCTTCTTGTAGGGCGATCGCACGCCGGACGGCAGCCCCATCCGCAGTGGATACAGTCTTGCGGTAACCTAATTGACTCTGCCCTTTTTGGGCTGCTAGGACCGCGGGAGATTGGCCGGCTTGCGTTTTGGTACTGGTGACTTTGTACATGTCCTTTGCCATGGAGATGGCAGCAGCACGTTGCGAGTTCTTGTAGTTTTGATCCTCAATCCCACTTTGGATAGGTGGCGATGAAGTATACAGCTTCGGGTTAGTGTGAGTGGCATGTTGGATCCGGCTTGCTTCCATAGCAGGGTCCAAGTGGTCAAGGGGGCCCTCCTCTTCCACGCGAGCATGTCGCGATGCGCTGGCGGCTGTACGGCTATATGGTAATTCGGAGGTAACCCCCGGGTCACTGGGTGCCGAGTCAGCTCTCTTGCGCGAGAGCGTGTAAGCGCCCGATGCGGCCAGGAGCGCCTTGTCCTTCGGGTTCCCACCGACGGCTGTATGGTGGTAACGATCGGTTGCTGAGCTGCCACGCCTATGACCAGCGGACGTAGGGGCCTGACCGATTGAGGCTCTCTGTTCGCGAACAGCGAGCATTGCGGCTCCCAGCCCCTCTGCGCTGTACTGAGTTGTGGGTTGGGGTTGCTGGGGCGGGGCGTAGTCCTTCACACATAATGCAGCCTTCTCGGCGGCAGGCTGTCTAGTCGGGGGCTGCCATACTTCAACGGGTTTGCGATTTGCGTGTGCGAGGGCCGATGCAGCGGAGGCGTGGCTGAGGTTTGGAGTACCGCCCACCGCGCGTGGATCTGCCGCACGGCGCATTGTCAGCCTAGGTGTATTTGCCTATCGTATCGAGGGGTGTTACTCACTGAAGTGCTGGGTGTTGGTTGCAGTCGGATCGCGCAGAGATGCCCTGCGTTTAGGATGTGTCACATAAAGGGCAGCAGTCGCGGCTATTTCACGTGAGGTTAGCGATCCGACCGGAGAGGAGACTATGGGATGCACGATCATCTTACCATCATCTGCTAGCCGGGACTGACGGGTCACTTGCACAGTCGCCATAATTCAGGAACTGCAACAAATTCAGATAAAACGGAAGAAGTCATGGGGGAGAAAAAGAGGGATAGCAGAGAACAAAACTATAAGGTGAGGTGGATATGGAATGGAAGTCCGGAAAGCTTCTTTCATCCCCGTGACGTCGATTAGGACGCCATTACATCATCGTTTGGGGGAATTTGGGGATTTTTGAGATTTTTTATGGGGAAGATCGATCTATCCCGGAGCTATGGGCACTAGTGAAAGATCGAAGTGGAGTGAAGATTCCGCATTTGAACAGGCGGAGGCCCAATTTTCGGTGGTGACGTGAGGACTCACAGGATTTTCTGAATGAACCCTGATCTACATCAGTCTACATGGATCTACACTATATATATGCCGATCCTCCACGTTGCAAGATTCGAATAGTGACGATAACACTCACACTAAGGTAGTGATCGGGCAATGTACATCGCAGGGATCTTTGTCGGAGCATGACGACCGGCATACCGGGGGATTTATTAATCCTACACATTTTTGTAATTAATGTTATGTAATCATGGCTCCATATAAATTGTACCAAGAGCCGATACAGAAATACAGAGAGTTGAATACCACTGATTGGACCCCTACATTTTACAATACAGACCAATCCGACAGTTATGAGCCCGGTTCGCATCGAAGAAAGCATTACTATTTGAGATATAGTATCTAGTACACTACTAGAAGCCTGCTTTCTACCCCTTGAAACCTCCTAGCTACCCCTGAATTAGCAATTGTGAAGCTATTCCCAGCTACCCCTGAATCCAGCAATGGAGGCAGCATCAATTCTCTCCGCTATGAAGGGCGAAAAACTGAAGGACTCGCCGCAGTGGCTCACTTGGTTTGCAAAAGTGCAGCTATATGCTATGCAAAAGAACGTATGGGACCTTTGCAACCTAGATCCCCCGACGACAACCGAATCCCAAGCAATAAGATCTATACCTCTCTAAGAACCGGTGGAACCGGAATACCCAGAGGACGGCGATGACAAGGATCGAAGGATTTGGCGAGATCGAATGGACGTGTATAAAATGAAGTATACGAAGTGGGAGAAGTAAGCAAAAGGACTAAGTGATGTCAACGAGTATATCCTTACCTACCTCGACCCAATGTATCACCTTGCTCTGATCACATATCGTACTCCGTATGAGAGGCTTGTATACCTAAAGACTAGATTTGCTCGGTTAACGGCGTACGAAGAAGAAATCCGTATGAATTGGAAGGTCTTTGCTATGCAGAAACCAACCGGTGATATTGAGCAGTGGCTTCAAAAGTGGAATTCACTAAGAGAGCAAGCTATTAGCCTCGGTATTAGCGATGTAGATTCCAATCGAGACTTCCTACATATAGTCAAAGAGGTACTGCCAATCTGGTGGCAAGGAAAATACTAAGAGATTGTTATGGATAAGAAGAAATATGACACTCGAGATCTTCTTAAATTATTCCGTGCAATGAATCGGGAGATAGGCGTTAAAACTGTGACCTCAACTAATGCTCTAAAAAGTGCTTTTTCAACCTGGTAAGGTCATCGAGAAGCAAAGCCGGAAGCGAAGTAAGAGAAGCTTCCATTCGAGAAGAGAAAATGTCTATATGGCAATAGTCATCCACACTACAAGGTAGCTAACTGCTGGCTTATAAATGAAGCTATACGCCTAGAAGGATATACCCTAGACGAAGGGAAGCTAGAGAGAGCTAGAAAGAAGCTAGCAAATGATCTAGGGTGGAAGCAATAGGTCCACAAAGCTATCAATGAAGCTATACTAAAGTATCATAAATCTGCAAACCAAGTCAGTTTTTCCACTACCTACTAGCCACCAAGTAAAGCTATACAGATTGGCAAGCATGCACTCTCAGCTGCAAAGACTGGCAAGCTCTCTCTCCACAATCGATGGATTCTTGACACTGGGTCGAGTTTATATGTATGCAATAACAGAGTATTGTTTATTGATTTTACGCCAGAAGTCATCAATTTGACTATAGGAGATAGTACTACACAGGTGCTAGGGAGAGGTACAG